AAACTTGTTACACTTAAGATGATAATACTGGTTAACCCTTTCACCCCTAATGTAACTTTAGTAGACTCTACCATGCATTGATTTGAATGAGTCCATTATGGTCTACAGTGGTGAAAGGGTTAATGTTCAATTTTTACCTTTTGGATGAAATTTCTGGTATAATTTTTATGCTTTGGATGAAATTTCTGGTAAAACATTTACTCTTTGGTTGATTATTATACAATTATGCACTGTTTTATTATATGCTTCAACAATAAAAAAATGAAACAAAACTAAAGGTTCTGATATTTGTACGTGAGCCTCCGTGTAAAATTTAGCCAGGTTTGAATTCAACAGTTCATCATTGTAGCTTTCGAAGGCATCGTCTAAATTCTTTTTCTTAAGATAAGCATGGAGGACATGCACTGCGTGTTCAATGGCCTTTTTTTACGTTAACAGCATCTTTATCCTCGAATAGTTTTGGTAATTTTCCTAACGGAGGAGAAACGTTTGCCAGCAGCCATCTTCTAATGTCGTCTGACAGATCGCATTCCAGTCGAACTGTTTTTGAGGACTGGTCACGTGTATAGGATCCGAACAATGTGATTGCGAGAAATGTTCATGCATATAATAAACTAGTATATTTTTGACACCTGGATACAATACCAGTGTAATTGTGTAATTTCTATACCTGGATACAATACCAGTGTAATTGTGTAATTTCTATACCTGGATACAATACCAGTGTAATTGTGTAATTTCTATACCTGGATACAATACCAGTGTAATTGTGTAATTTCTATACCTGGATACAATACCAGTGTAATTGTGTAATTTCTATACCTGGATACAATACCAGTGTAATTGTGTAATTTCTATACCTGGATACAATACCAGTGTAATTGTGTAATTTCTATACCTGGATACAATACCAGTGTAATTGTGTAATTTCTATACCTGGATACAATACCAGTGTAATTGTGTAATTTCTATACCTGGATACAATACCAGTGTAATTGTGTAATTTCTATACCTGTAGCTAGAAGATCCAAGCCCAGTAAGTATTCAACACACGAGTGTTTACCATATGTACACAAATGTCTCCCCACAATTATGATTTTAATGGATCTGATTTTAATTTAACATCTGTCTGAAATCTTCCTCATCCCCGCTTCCTTCACTGTCCCATGTCTTCTTCACTCACTCAGTGTTTCCTTCAATATGTTATTTTCTACTGTTTATACCCGATTTTCAAGCTGGCTGTCAAAGAAGGTGTTTAACTTTTTCACCCCTGAAGACACATATTTAGGCTGTTGCTTCAAGACAACAGAAAAAGTCACTTAAATCAAAAAGTTTCAATGTATACTTCATCACAAACTCTTGAAAGACTTCAGACATACCAAAGTCCTTATAAATGGTAGATGTTAATCCCTGTTAAATGTTCATGAGCATTGAGTATTCGTACAACTGGTTAATCAATTGTCAGTATACTGGTTAATCAGTTGCCAGTATACTGGTTAATCAGTTGCCAGTATACTGGTTAATCAGTTGTCAGTATACTGTGAATCAGTTGTCAGTTTACTGGTTAATCAGTTGTCAGTATACTGTGACCAGGTTGGAAACTGTGCTGGGTGCCTTTGGTATGGTATCTCAGTGAAATTGCATTCTAAATATGGTATCTGACCCTTGCAATAATTACAAAAAGACAAATACAACAACATACTACCTCCAGCAAACACACCTACATTACGCACATGGTGGCAAGTCCTTAACTCATTCACCCCTGAAGACACATCTGAATTAACTCTTCCAATTCAAATATTAGAAGAGTTCATTATGACATTTCAGGGGTGAATGAATTAAGCTTTAAACAGTCTAAACCTCACAGCAGTCTGTAACTGTCAAATGCTCAAGACCTCAAGACTGGACTGTTCTAACAAAATTTCTAGCAATAAAAAAATCTTAATGTCTTCAGAAAACTGTAAAAGAGGAATTTCATTGTAACGTCCATGTTTGTACAGAGTTTTATGTCATACAGCGTCTTTGACTAATTATTATGTTTAAAATATGTTTTGTATTTTGATTGGATTTGTAAACTGAAGTAATTAAATACCACATTGATGGGACTAATGTAATAAACTAGTCATTCATTTGTTGTCAGTATTATAGACATGTTTAGGTAAATTCCAGTTTTTATCATGTACTCTACCAAACTCTCATGCCATGTCCCCCTACATAATTTTCAATGATATAGGATTTTTCTTCTTAATGAAAATGGCTCGCAAACTGCTAATTAAATCTAAATCTATAATAGAACCTTCAAATCTAAAATAAATCTATAAAACAGTATATATTCAAGTAATTAAAAGAGTGTTGCAGTTATTACTGTAAGCATACTTGTTTTAGTGGTTAAGATATTTCAGGGAAAAGATTTTTGTGGTAAAAATCCTTTTGTTCAAAGATGTAAAAGTGATAAAATAACTTATTACGGTAGTTGAAAAGATATTTTAGCGATAAAATATCTTTGTGGTTAAGATATATTAGTTGTAGAATGATTTGTCAGTTGTAAAGATATTTTAGTGGTAAGATATTTTTGTTGTAGAGATATTTCAGTGATAAATTTGTGGTAAAAATATTTAGTAATAAAACAATTTTTGTGGTGAAGATATTTTAGCAGTTAAGATAATTTTGTGGTAAAGATACAATAAAATTGTGGTTAAGACATTTTAGTGATAAAATATCAAAGTCACTGGTAAAGTAATTTGACTGGTTTTGTGCTGATTTGACAGTATTTAAGTACGTTAGCTACTGTTTACAACATCACTATATTCGTCACCGGATATGTGACCTACAATGCTAAATCAAATTCTACTTAATTTGAAAATTATCGATTATACACGGAAATGTACGTGTAGCACTCCTGGGTAAGTAGGTACATTTACAGAATTTAGATGGAGTACCATAAATTTTATATCATTTATAATTGATACGGAGTACCCTAAACTGATGTTTGAATATTGATTATTTCATTTTTATCACCAGTTCTGTCACTCCGCTTCCTGTTGAAGATTTATTTGTTTTCATTTGAATTTGATTTATTGATGCAATTTGTGGACATTTTTTACAGTCACAAATATTGATGGATGGGCTGATTGGTGCAATACCCATCATACCATTTACATGTTCATTTTGAGTGCCATAATTACTCCACTTCCTCATTGAAAATGAAATTTAACATACTTTTTTATGATTACTCAAAGTTCCAACATGCTATAAACAAGTTTATTTACTAATCAAAGTGCTCTTAGCTATGGAAAATCACTCCTTGAACATAACTGAAATCCATTTCATTAAATTGTGATGTAAATGAAATATTTAGTTTGGTACAAGTGTTGTTTAATTTTGTACATTTAGGGCCATTTTCTTCACTATTTCTCTCCAGAGAAGTTGAGCTAAATTTTCCCAAATTCAGGACATATTTTCCTAAATTAGACCAAAAATTCTGATAACTAGCTATATGACCAGAGATGCCTCAATATTAGTTAGAAGAGAAAATAAAATAGAGGTATCAAGCATTGCAATGGGGTCAATTTCAATCAATCAATCAATCAATCAAGATCAATTTTGCACGATTTCTCGAATGTTTGCTCAGCAGAAGTCAACCCTTTATTTTGCATAGGGTGCTATATTAGTTGCTTCTAATACATTCGATCATGCAGTGGGTTACAGCAGGCCTTTATTCTTTCCCCAAAGGTATTGATGGGTGAAATTAAGGCCAATTAACATTGGGTGTATTTAAAGATTTCAGTAGTGAATGGTGCCAGTTTTGTGATGATATACAGTATTTCATGTCATTGACAGAGTTAAATGTTCCAAAAATGTGCTAATTACTTTGTCAGGTTGCGTTTGTAAATAAAACCAGATATTTGTGGAAGTTGGTATCACATTGACTATCAAATCACATTTATATGATAGAAGCATACATAACAATATTTATATGTTAAAGTCCAAAACTAACAAATATAATATCTGTCGCGTTAGTGAGAATCAAATCGTATCAAAGTTTTCATTAGCTTTAGTCTTCATGTATTACATATTCACGTTCCTCATCTATCATAATATCATTTTCAGATATTTCCCCAGAGCCATTTGTATAATGGACCTCTCTTATGTAAAGTGTTTGATATTTTCCAATTATTTTTATTGAATTTATTTTGTTTTGTAACTTGTATCCGGATCATATCACTTGATATATATTTCTTTGTTGTAGATCAGTTAAATATTTATTTGTCCAGAAAAAAATCAAAATAATTTTCCTTATACTGTAGTATACTAATGGACTGTGAGAAAACCTGAGTGAGTATCCAAAATTTGTTTAGTAATGTTTAAGACAATGAGGAAAATATCTGATATCTTGTCAGGTAATATGTAAGACAAGGAAGAAACGACAACCAATTTCTTGTTTGATTTGTTTAAATATACACATAATCTCTGATTGAAGAAATTAGGGAGTGGGCTTACAGGAAAATACAATAGCATTTTTTGGGGATTTCTACTGAACAGCAGTAGGTGTTGGTGGGCTTATTATCAGGCATGGGTTTATTGTCGGATTAATACGCAATACTAGACAATATAGGAAGCCAAATAGCTGTGTTACTTATTACTGAAATGATGTAACATAATATTTTATCCTGCTTGCTGCTGTGTTAATGAATCAAACTAGTAGTTCCCTTACCAGTGCCTGGTGTATATATATATATCTAATTCATAACCCTTGGGGTGAAATTTCTGTATCTTTCACTAAGACTCGTATCGGTAGCATGCAGCTTTAACATGTCCACCCCTGAAGACACATTTGAGCTCTTCCAACTCAAAGGTTATAATAGTTCATTACGAAATTTCAGGGGTGAATGTGATAATGTATTATTACAGCTGCCTCAGTTAAACTCATTTTTATGCTTGCAGACCGCAGTTTGTAATTAACTTTTCTATTATTATATTTGTTTTACTTTCTGTTACAGAGAAGAGTCAGATTCCGAGATGCTGAAAAGGATTCGCCAAGACTGCTAACCCAGCGAGTGAAAACTTTTTATGTTGAGAGCTGGCCCGAGGTCAAAGTCAAGTTAGGTAAGTAATTTGTTCTTCAGATTTCAGCTTTAACCCATTGACACCTAATAATGGATTTGGACTGCTCCAAATCAATGGATATCATAGTCCATTGTCAAAATATAGGGGTGAATGAACATTCTGGTGTTTACTCTTCAGTGGATTCTTTAAGCTTGACATCACATGGAGTGTTTTATACAATAGTTATGCCTGTGACCATTTAAAGGATCCCGGCCACTGCAACAGTTACCTCCCCTTAACATCCGGTTAGATATAACTGCAGCAGATTTGGGGCCTGGACACTAACATTGACCAGGTAGCTCAATCGGTTAGAGCGATAGTATTTCAATCTGAAGTTCTTGGGTTCGAATCCCGGTCTAAACCCCGCTGATATTTTTTACATTCAGAACACTGTTGTTGATTAATTTTTTATTATCATAATTTTGTTTATTTCATCTTTATTATTTTTCATAAAAAGTCCTGCAAGGTACGGTTTTCTTTTCAGAAATGATTTATCAAAGCTATGTAGTCTTGCTGAATGAAACAGTTTCCAACACTTGTTTACAGTTTTTGGAATCGGTACAGTGATCCTTAAGTAAAAACTGAATTTTGATTATGGGTTACAAACTTGAGGGTCTTTTACAGCTTTATTATTAACTATTTCTGTACTCCATATAATATTGTGTTCAGTTGTGTCGGTCAAAAACGGTCATTAGGGTACATGTGTTCGGTTTTCTTCTGCCCGAGAGATTTGTTGACTTTTTAAAAGCTACTCAAACAAAGTTTAAAGTGGGTTACTAAATATTGACAAGTGCTATTGAATTTATTAACCCTGTACTGTAAACTAGAGATCTCGTCCGGCGGCTACTTGTAATCTGTAAGTGGATTGTTTCTATTGGAAGGAGTGGATGTCAATAAGGAACTCTTCATCCCTAATAAAGATTACTGTCCCCGGGGCGCAATTACCCCGGTAGTCTCCAAAGTTTGATTTATTGGATGTAGGGACCTATTAAGGTCATTTAAATCATTCACCCCTGAATTTTCATAATGAACTCTTCCAATCTTTGAATTGGAAGAGTTCAGTTGTGTCTTTAGGGGTGAATGAGTTAAGGACTTGCCACCATGTGCGTAATGTAGGTGTGTTTGCTGAAGGTAGTATGTTGTTGTATTTGGCTTTTTGTAATTATTGCAAAGGTCAGATACCATATTTAGAATGCAATTTCAATGAGATACCATGCCAAAGGCACCCAGCACAGTTTCCAACCTGGTCACAGTATACTGACAACTGATTAACCAGTATACTGACAACTGATTCACAGTATACTGACAACTGATTAACCAGTATACTGACAACTGATTAATCAGTATACTGACAACTGATTAACCAGTATACTGATTAACCAGTATACTGACAACTGATTAACCAGTATACTGACAACTGATTAACTAGTATACTGACAACTGATTAACCAGTATATACTGACAACTTATTCACAGTATACTGACAACTGATTCACAAGTATACTGACAACTGATTAACCAGTATACTGACAACTGATTAACTAGTATACTGACAACTGATTAACCAGTTGTACGAATACTCAATGCTCAAGAACATTTAACAGGGAATAACATCTACCATTTTTAAGGACTTTGGTGTGTCTGAAGTCTTTCAAGAGTTTGTGATGAAGTATATATTGAAATGTTTTGATTAAAGAAACTTCTTTTGTTGTCTTTAAACAACAGCCTAGATAAATTGTAGCTAATTATAATTCCATAACATGCATCACATGCATACTTCTATAAAATGAGAAAGATTTGACTGGATGCATTTCACCATTACACGAAAAGTTAATATGAAAATGAACTCTCCTCCTCCCCCCCAACTTCCTAAATTCCCCTTGAGTTACTACTATGTATCATTTCCAAAATGTTTGCCTCTTAGTTAATGTAAAATTTTGCTATTTTCCAGGGAACACAATTCGCCCCATGTCTGGGAGTCGTCACTTAATAGGTGGTACACCCATTACTGTGGAAACAGCCGTGGTAAGTCTGATTTAAAGTCATCAACTCACCAACGCTTAAACATTGTACATTTCGTATCTCCTTATGGATGTATGTGTATAGGTTAATAAAGTCTATCAATGGGGGTATATAGAATATATGTTCTGCGTAAGCGGGGGAAATCCTGGATTATGAGAGTGGTGGGGCCATTTCAACAATTTTCATTTCAAGAAAATTGGAACATGGAGGGGTCAATTTCAGTTTTGAAGAGTCCATGGCCCCCTCCAGGATTATTCCTGCATGAGGGTGCAAAATTTGAGTTAGAATCGAGGATTTGCTGAGGTTTTGAAACCGAATTCTGCACCCGAGGGTTGACTCTTTTTCTCACATTCGCTAACAGATTTTTTTATTTTTAGCTTTTATTCAGATGGCAATGCAACATCCAACATCTTAAATGAAATAATATGATGGTCGTTTTACTCTTTAAGATCTTTAGAAGATGCTATGTATAAAAAAGAGATTTTTTTAGTATAATTTTGAATATTCCCCAAACGATGATAAAAAGCCTTGCATTCACTGGAGGAATATTCAGCTTAAACTACAATGTAATTAGTGTAGCTCAATTGGTCTGGATGACAGCTGTTGACCAGGTAGTTGAATTGGTTAGAGCACCTGTCTAAAGTTTGGAGGTCCCAGGTTCGAATCCCAAATTTTGCCCCGTTGCATTTTTCCCTCTCTTCATTTTACTTCTCATGTTACAGCGATTTCATATTTGCTCATGTCATAATTTTCTTGTTCCAGTCCCTAAAACACATGATCTTTGGATCATGGGCGAGCCAGGTCCATTTCTTCTCCACGGAATGGAGGAAGTCCACTATCGACTTTTACGATATTTCTGGACCATTTTCCTTTGGATTACAAACTTTGAAGGTAGGTATTCAAATTTTCCTGAAGTTAAAACGAACTAAATTTATAATAATCCTTTCCCTGATAGTCTTTTTAGTCAAAAAGCATTTATAGAAAAAATCTTTGTTAAATAAAAAAAATTACACAGATTTAATAATATTCAACTAACAATTTTTAAGATGCGAATCATCATTTGGTACATATTGTAACAATCTTTGATCAGGTTAAAAAATTCACAGAATACTCAGTTATATTTTGGTTTCTCTGCCATCTTTTATTATCTTTACTTAAGGGTATATGCTATAACTTACACATTATCAATTACCAATGCAATATTATTCTGTATCTTCCAAATTTGTTAATCTGTAATAAAAAAATGGGTCCAAATTGATAGTCTGCACCAATAAGGGATCCAAATTGATATTCAATAAGGGATCCAAATTGATATTTTACATTTTCTTTTTTAAATTTTGGAACTCTTTTTGAAAAAAGATTCATTTCCTATCATGGTAGCATATACCCTTAACTCTCTAAAATTTAACCCCCCCCCCCTGGCTCTTGGTTGCAACAGTAACAAGACAACATGGTAAGAAGGTGGGATCTGATACCTAATGTATAGTAACTAACATGTATTTATGAAAATAAATTCTTTGCTTGTTTCAAATTAATTGAAAAATTCAAATCTGTTACTATATTAACTGTATAACAATTCTTTAATGATTGGTGATCGAGATTTAGTATATTTTTCATTTTCAGCTTAATGTTCCTAATAAAAAATATCAAGATTATGGCAGTTATACTTCAATTGATACCAACACGACACATTTTGTGATTTTTTTCGTGATTTAACTCTATTTATTAAAACAAACAGGCATTTGGGTAAAATGTATTTTAGGCATTTGATATTCATAACAAACAAAATTAGAAATATCAAGCTTATGACTGGCCAATGCTGTAAATTGTTAAAATCCCTCTGATACATCACCAAAATAATCCTTTCATAAATGCATTGTCAGTTTACTTTTAGGGGAAAAAAATCATGTTTCAATTGATATTTGAATATGTTTGAAACATTTTCTTCCTCTTCCAAATTTCTCTTGTAAGTTTAAAAATGACCTTTTTTCTTTTTTGGTACAACCATGATATTTTTTATAATTTATCTCCTTTGCACGGTGGATACACAGAATTATTGACAGATCACAAGCCTGTTAACAGTTTTAACCCTTTCACCACTGTACACCATAATGGACCCATCCACATCAATGCATGGTCGAGTTTATTAAAGTTACCCGGTACATAGTGTTGAAAAGGTAAAACAAAATGGAAATTAAAGCTGGCATAAACAAAACATGGCAAGTGTCTAACAAGAGGTACATCAATTTGGGTATTTCTGCACACAACACTTAATTTTAGAGTTAGAACTAACTGCCCATTCTGCTTACTCCCTTGACTTACAGTGCGGGTCACGCGGCCTCGTCTTGGCTATACAAGCCTACCTGTTAAAAAGTCTCATCTTTGATCGTCAGTTTGCTTCGATTGCTCTTATACGAAGGTAAGTACCATGTGATGCCAAAATACTACGTTCCCGTCATACTCAAGTATTCAAATCTTTAATGTTTGTTGTATCAAATGTTAATAAATGTTTAGACAAACCTGCTACAGAGCCACTTTTAAAACTCGGCCTCATCATGTTAACTAAACCTGTCTTAGTTACTACCTCAGTTAGGAGACCACCTGTGTTAAGAGACCACTTTTAAAACTGGGCCTCATCATGTTAACTAAATCTGTTTTAGTTACTACCTCATGTTTAGACAAACCTGCTAAAGAAACCACTTTTAAAACTGGACCCCTTCATGTTAACTAAACCTGTCTTAGTTACTACCTCAGTTAGGAGACCACCTGTGTTAAGAGACCACTTTTAAAACTGGGCCTCATCATGTTAACTAAATCTGTTTTAGTTACTACCTCATGTTTAAACAAACCTGCTAAAGAGACCACTTTTAAAACTGGACCCCTTCATGTTAACTAAACCTGTCTTAGTTACTACCTCAGTTAGGAGACCACCTGTGTTAAGAGACCACTTTTAAAACTGGGCCTCATCATGTTAACTAAATCTGTTTTAGTTACTACCTCATGTTTAAACAAACCTGCTAAAGAGACCACTTTTAAAACTCGGCCTCATCATGTTAACTAAACCTGTCTTAGTTACTACCTCAGTTAGGAGACAACATGTGTTAAGAGACCACTTTTAAACCGGGCCCCTTCATGTTAACTAAATCTGTTTTAGTTACTACCTCATGTTTAGACAAACCTGCTAAAGAAACCACTTTTAAAACTGGACCCCTTCATGTTAACTAAACCTGTCTTAGTTACTACCTCAGTTAGGAGACCACCTGTGTTAAGAGACCACTTTTAAAACTCGGCCTCATCATGTTAACTAAATCTGTTTAAGTTACTACCTCATGTTTAAACAAACCTGCTATAGAGACCACTTTTAAAACTGGACCCCTTCATGTTAACTAAACCTTTCTTAGTAAATACCTCAGTTAGGAGACCACCTGTGTTAAACTAGGCTCTGTTGCAGTTATTTTCATATTCACTAAACGTGTATCAAGCAACCACCTTCATTAAGAGATAACCTGTGTTGAAAGACCACTGTTAAAAAAGAATGGTCCCCATTGCATTAATTTCTTTATCTGTTAATCAGGCTTACATTAAGTGACCAACTATATTAAAAGAGAACTCCTGTGTTCAGATATCAATTCCCTGAACTCCCCATTGCAGTTATTCCTGGCGGTTTACTGAATCTCTTTTAAGAGACCACCTCCAGCCTCAATGAGACCACTTTATGGAATGTGATTTCTGAATACAACTTTAACTGCACAGGGTTTCAATATGTCAAATAATGACCATACATTATTTTAATGTAAATGATTGTGAATTATGGAATTAAGGACCCTCATGTGGATGTGGTAATCAAATGATATTGTTCTTTTCTTCAAAATATCAAAGATTCTAAGAAATAAAACCCAGGAAAATTATTCACATTGACTTGATACAGAATACATTTCAAGTATGATTTATATGGAGATATATATCTGTCGACAATGACTTTAACATTTCATGCCACAAAATAGTATTGACAATTTTATATTTCAAATGGTACTCTTTCCCTTAAATCAAGTGGACAGTTATTTAATGTATTTTACTCTGTCTGGTATGAAGTATTTACAATATACACCCTGCAGAGATAGAAAACTAACGTACTGAAGATAATGTGTCGAAGTGGATGATTTTCAGGTATTACCAAAGTGGCAATTAATCAGAGAGAAAGACCATTACATGTATGTTTGTGATATTGAACTCATAAAATATTAAAATTTAATTATTGAATCAGTAAATGAAGAGTGACCTAGCTTGCTTGTAAATTGGATTTGAGGGTGAATAAATTGTGTCCATATCAATATCTACCTTTTATCACGTACCCATGCAGGTTTCTATCATCAATCTTCGTATCGTATGGCTCAGGAAGCCATCACTTTGCTTGTTGCATAAATAATATATTTGTGTGCAGTTCTGACGAAAATAGTTAAAACACATGTTAACCCATTCATCCCTGAAATCACATTTGAACCTCACCAAATCATAGACTGGGCAAGTCCAGTTTAAAAATGTAGGGGTGAATAAGTTAAGAAAACTCCTAGAAGGAAGAAGCATTATACCTGGTAACCCAGTCCCTGTCAATGTTGACAACAAAGTCAAGGAAAACATTATCAGTATTTTTTAAGCACATGTACTTAAGGGATAATTAAACCAGAACCTTTTAAAATTAAATTGGAACTCTCCTATCGTCCATTTTCTTTTAATTTTACTTTTTAAACTTTTACTTTTGCTTGGAATAGCCCTTCTGATATTTTAATAATGACTGAAAATTATTGAAAATTGTCTATTGCTTTCGGCTCGGGGATTTCTCAGGTACTGTTAATTCCCAGGGGCTAACACATAATCTCTTGACTCCAAATATGGAGGTTGACTTATCATTTATTGGAATTTTTATTGAGCTGTAATAAATATGGACTGGGTTATGACCGCAGGCATGGGCTTTTTTGCAGATAAATATAGTGTATCCCTGAAGTCATATTTCCACACATCAGTGACAATTTTCCAGGTACAAACACCACCGTTTATTAGTACACCCCTCTGTAACATGTTTTGCAGAAATACAGATATTTTATATTTAGTAATTGTGTAAACAGACGTATTTTAGCAGTGGACTTATTTTAGCTACGGTATTTGCATTTTAAATATTGATTTCAATTTTGATTGTGGCAACTACAGTTTCTGTAGCTGGTATATATTTTTCTATTGCCACTATATTGTAGGTACACACATTTATCAGTGTTTCAATTTGTTACCTCAGTAATGGGCTAAGACTCAAGTACACTAAAATAAACATATTTACAGTAATCAAGTATTCACAATTTAGTGCAAAAAGCACTAAAATATTTTTTTTCATTTGCCCCTTAAAAAATAATTTTATTACTTAATTATTATCACTTAATTTTTACCCCTAAAATAATGCTACCACTCAAATATTATGACTTAAACAATTACCCCTGAAATTATACCAGGGTATTAACACTGAAATAAGTATTAAATTGTTATTTTATGTTTGTTTATTTCAAGTGCCCTTCAGCCAAATGACTTTGAGAGAAGGCGTGCGCTGATATCAGCAATGTGTCAAATCTTGTGGCTGGTCGGTGATAACCGTCGCTGCTGTGTCTGTCTTCAACAAGTCGACCGGTGCTATGCAAACGACTACCGATGTCGTGATGACGGCATCACGGAAAAAGTAAGAACACTTACGTACTGTTGTTATTACTAAGTATAGAAGTCAATTGCAACAAGCTTGGGATGAGTTGAGTTTTATTTATTGGGAAATGTCTACCAGTTTCGCCCGAACAGTGGGCTTCTTCAGGACTTAGTTTTCCCTATTCTTCAAACGCCCTGCGTACCAGGTGGTATCCAAGTAAGGGTAAACGTTAATTGCAATCTCGATACTCCACGGGTTACGCTCACTTACGATCTCTGCACCCCTTGAATATGTCATAGGAGATTTGAATGCACGAATATAGCTGTTTGATTGGTCTCAGATAAAAAAAACCTGACCAATCGCTAGGTTGATACCTGTCCTCGGAAGATTACAGAGGAGCGACCATCTTCAAAGCTTAATCTATTTTTACCGTCGTTACCCGACCGCAAAATTCTTTTAAGGTATATCAAAGTATCAAACTAGTTTTCTTGTCTCATCAACAAGGTGGTGCACACACAGCCTTCATTTTTGCTATGACATATTCCAGGGGTGTAGAGAGCAAAAGTGAGCGTAATCCCTGGATATAGAGGATACCTGTGACACTGCCAAAAAATAGTGGAACTATGAATTGGCAGCTTTTTTACCTCATGGCAATTAGCTTTAATTTTGAATCGATTCTGAAAAGTAATCATATTTTGTATGTGAGTACATTCTTGGATGATATACTGTAATCAGGTCATGGGCCCCACTACGTACAGTATGGCCCTTTGTTTTATTTTAAATAAAACTCCCTTGCTATTGCACATAAATGCATTATAAACCTGCTTTGCTACTTTATCTTGGTGAGGTAGAGTGTTTCATTCTGAAAAATGGATATTTATCTTTGTAGTTGTTAGGTCTGAACACTTGGATCTTGTTATAATAAGTTTCAAATTTTCTTTTCAGATCTTATTATTTGAATTCAAAAAGTATCAAGACTTGGAAATGTTCATGAAAAGACATTGGACTGAGGTAACTAGAAATGGTATCTTATTGAACTACAACAACAAAGGAATATTTTATAAATCCTTATTTTATGCCATGCTGCTTGTTCACATGGTATCCCATCAATACTACAAGCTTGTACAGTAGTCGACAAAACCACTCAACAACAATATTCATTGTAATGGCTGTATACTATAAGGACATTATATAACTGCGTATGACTTTACGTAATTTTAGCAATAAAACCGTACATATAACAGTACATAACAATACGTATTAAAAACAAGTTTGACTAGTGTAGGTCAGGGTATTTCTGGCTGAACTATGCAAAGGCTTTTTACCTTTAGCCTTGAGTGAGGCTTTGTGTGTGAGTCACGTGACCGATGATACACAGAAACTTGAGGTTTCTCTTGTGAAACCAATTTCTATTATAATGACTGTGGTAACGTATTTTGAAATAGAAGTCATTGTCATGTGAGTAATTTGCATATCCAAGTGTGTAGTCAAGCCACTCTCTTGAAATAAAGAACATGTAAATAACATTTTATCACATAATCGGCCTGTTATCCATTTAATTCGCCCGTGTAATATTTTTTACATATGTCACTATTGTAATATACCCTGGAGTGTTTTTCATTGGCTGTGCCAGTCAGAAATTGATTGTGACGTCATAATATGGAGAATGACGTGACGTCATAAATTGTGAATGGCGCAACAAAATGTCTGTCTCCGTTTGATTAAGCCCTCTACATTTCGGCTTTAAAACCTGTCAAAATGTAAGTTTTCTGAGTTATTTTATAAAAAGTATCTTAAATATGTTTTCATTTCATATGAGCTTTTATGAAACTCGTCTCGAAGTTTTAATATTTGCTTGCCAAGGCTCGCAAAAACAAAATCTTCGAAGAATGGTTTCATAGAATCTCATATGAAATGAAAACTCTTTTAAGATCTTATATTTATTATATTTAAATTAAAACCACAAGCACACATCATAAATGCAATTTATTATAGGTATTTAATTATTTTATTTAGTAGCCAATAATATAACTTATTCGAGGTAATTCTAGATTCTAAGAAAGCTCCTATAGTACCCCAAACTTAAGTCTAAATAACTACTTTTATATATGGATAAGAATCCTTCTTACCTGGTAATCTGAAAAATCTTTCTTTTGATGTGTAACAAAAACAAATGTTTGCTGCACAGGACTACAGTACTTCACATACATAAAAAGTGCTAAACAGTTTTGTTTATTTATTGGTTCAGAATTTCTGAATTTACTAAAAACAAAAAATTGAATTTGCAAAACTTTGCTTTCATAGATTAATAATGATAGGATACTCTATTGATTCTCAAAATTGTCAAATATTTTCAACAGGATCTAATGTTCATAGAATTATGAACTGGAAGATGGCCATGCAAAAAATAACACAGATTTACATGTAACCGTTTAAGGACTTACTATATTTTCAACTATTATCGGAAGCAAAAAATGTCAGGATTCTACCAAGGACTAGTTCAGACAATTACTACAAATGTTTGCGAATACTTTTATGTTTGTATAAATTTACAACATACTTTTATGAATATGTTTGTATTTTCTATATTTAGTGGTGGCCATCCTCAATACTTGATGTGTTACACTCACTTTCGCTCTCTACACCCCTGGAATATGTCATAGCAAAATTGAAGGCTGCAGCTAGATAATTGATTGGTCTCAGGTAAAAAAAACACCTGACCAATTGCTAGACTGATACCTGTCCTTTGAGCGACACCTGACTTCAAAGCCAGTCAATTTTACTGTTACACAACCGCATGATTCTTTTGATGTACATCAAAGGATCAAACTAGTCTTCTTGTCTCATCAACAAGGTGGCACACACTGAGTCTTCGTTTTTGCTATGACATATTCCAGGGGTGCAGCGAGCGTCAGTGAGCGTAACCCCTGGAGTATCGACGATGAGAAGTGACTGGATTAACTGTATGGTGACTGTATTTGTGTTTCAGTTCCAGAGAGAGGGAAACAATGGCTGTATAATGTTCCTGTACAGCATCATCCTGTCCAGGACTCCAGGAAAGTTAGTATAAACTGATAAAGTCTGTGGTCGCATGTGTAGGATATAATACTGTAACGATCTGGACTGGGTCGATAGCCCGGGTAACCAGGTAGCTCAATTTGTAGAGCGTACTTACAGAGTTACAGAAAAGATGAATTACTTTAACCGCGGACTATCAAGAAATGTAAGTCTGACCTAGTGCAGAAATCATGATCAGCGGTTGGTTGATCATGGGGTTTAGTGGTTAGTCCACACACCTTTCACCAAGACTGTCTGGGTTTGATTCCTCGATCGGATGTGAAAGGTATGGGGTCACCTGCTAGACTATGTGAGTTTTCTTTTGGCACTTCCGGTTCCTCCCATATAAAAAACTTCATGTACACGCTTCTGTTGTTGCCAACAAAAATAATTAATATGAGTTTATAACTTCATCATACCTGACAAAGGTTTGTTCTGTTTGTTTCTGACAGTCAGTGTAGATCGAGGAGCTTGATTTCACGATTTTCTTTGTTCTTAAATCATCAACCACCCTCTACCTGTATGATGCGTGGTTTCGATTCCAATGATTGCCAATCTCCTACCTCCATTTTTAGCTCACCTGGCACGAAGTGCCAAGTGAGCTTATGCCGTGGCGCGGCGTCCGTCGGCCGTTCGTCGGCCGGCCGGCGTCCGGCGTCAATATTTTACTTTAAACGACTTCTTCTTAATAACCGAAAGGCCTAGGATGTTGATATTTGGCCAGAAGCAAACTCTGTTGAAGGGCTACAAAGTTTGTTAAAATTAATGACCTTCACCCATTTTCAAGGTCACCGGGGTCAAATATGTTAAAAACTTTTAAAAACTTCTTCTGAATAACCAAAATGCCCAGGGTGATGATATTTGGCCCATAGCATGCTGACATGAAGGGCTACAAAGTTTGTTCAAGAGAATGACCTTCAATCATATTCAAGGTCACAAGGAGCAAATATGTTCAAAATATTCAAACAACTTGTTCTGAAAAACCAAAATGCCCAGGGTGATGATATTTGGCCCATAGCATGCTGAGATGAAGGTCTACAAAGTTTGTTCAAGAGAATGACCTTCAATCATATTCAAGGGCACAGGGGTCAAAAATGTTAAAAACTTTAATCAACTTGTTCTTAATAACCAAAATGCCCAGGGTGATGATATTTGGCCAGTAGCATGCTGAGATGAAGGGCTACAAAGTTTGTTCAAGTGAATGACCTTCAATCATATTCAAGGTCACAGGGGTCAAAAATGTTAAAAACTTTAAACATCTTGTTCTGAATAACCAAAATGCCCAGGGTGATGATATTTGGCCCATAGCATGCTGAGATGAAGGGGTACAAAGTTTGTTCAAGTGAATGACCTTCAATCATATTCGAGGTCACAGGGGTCAAAAATGTTAAAAACTTTAAACATCTTGTTCTGAATAACCAAAATGCCCAGGGTGATGATATTTGGCCAGCAGCATGCTGGGGTAAGGGGCTATCGAGTTTGTTTGAATGAATGACCTTCACTTATATTCAAGGTCACAGGGGTCAAATATGTAGAAAACATTAAATAACTTCTTCTGAGTAGCCAAAATGCACAGGGTGATGATATTTGGCCAGTAGCATGCTGAGATGAAGGGCTACAAAGTTTGTTTAAATGTATGACCTTGAATCATATTCAAGGTCACAAGGAGCAAATATGTTCAAAATATTCAAACAACTTGTTCTGAATAACCAAAAGGCTCAGGATGTTGATATTTAGTCAGATCAAGGATTTCTATGTTTGTTAAAGTGAATGACTTTGACTTATATTCAAGGAGACAGGGGTCAAATTTGTTTAAAATCTTTAAACAACCTCTTCTGAATAACCATGGGTCCCAGGATGTTGATACTTTGCAAGTCGCATACTGAGATGAAAGGCTATACAATTTGTTCAACATAATGACTTTGTTCGACTTTCAAAGTAACAAGGGTGAAATGTTTTAAAATCTTTTAACAGGTTCTTTTGAATGACTTTAATCATAAATACTGATATTTTGCCTGTAGCTTTATTTTAGATCACTTTTAAGGTAGCAAGTGTGAGATTTTAACCAGGTGAGCGATGCAGGCCCATTGGGCCTCTTGTATCATCATGTGTTGTAATAATGGTTTGGTTATTGCATGATGCAATACGATAATGGTCGTAGAATGAATCGAATTTAGGCATTTTGAAAAGTATAAGAAGCTTGTCTGGCTAATATTACAGGATCTACGAGGACCTACAGATGGACGAAGATGACCGACAGAGGAAGTTACTGACCGACAATGAGGCCTGTAGCACTGCCTTCCTCAACTTACTGATGACCGGCATGGCAACGCCCTATCTCCATAACAACAACCAGATCTACAGCGAGGAGGCCAAAGTGCTGGTACGTCACCAATAATTCATTTTTGCTGTGAATCACAAATTATACATTTCGATTGAAACATATAGCATGCTCAATCGGAACATGTTAAAATATATTGCACAAGTCATTGACCTTTTCACCCCTATGTAACTTAAGTAAACTTTACCAATGTATTGATCTGGATGAGTCTATTATGGTTTACATTGGTGAAAGGGTTAATTTTCATTGCAACCAGACTTCATGTTTCTATTATATAGGCACACCCATTCTGCAAAACCTCTTACCAGTTTAGTTGTGTACAAGACACCATGTATATCCTTCAATAAGCCCAGGAGCCCAACATAATCACTGACCTAACTCATTCACCCCTGAAATTTCATAATGAACTATTCCAGCCTTTGAATTGGAAGAGTTCAAATGTGTCCTCGGGGGTAAATAAGTTAAAGCAGGGGGTTGAGGCCTATTGCCGGACAGTCGAATAACATTTGTTGGCTTTTCTACTGAACTAAGTACGAATGGGTGGGCCTACTACCAGGCATGGGATTATTGGTGGATAGAGGGTATGTTGTTAAAGAACAGACTTTCAGTATAAAAACACAATCCCAGAGTCAGGTCCATGTGGGAATTTAGGACAAAGCTTTCTGAATATCAACAGCATTGCAGATGTGCATTGAACATTTTGACATTTTACATAAAAAAAAAAGATTTTTTAATCATCTTAACTTCAGTTGAGTTTTGCAACAGTAAGACTCTGAGCAACAATGAAATGTGTTTTCCACAGTTTTCAGTAAAATTTCAATATTTTAAATTAAGGCATTATGGTTATTTTTCCTGAATCAGAAAAGTTCTTAACTTTCCTGAAATATCACGAGTGACAGAGAATTTGCAGGAGAAGCTTAAAGTAAAACTTACTGTGGGCCCATAATATTTAGCCCTGTATAGTGAAACCTCCGCCACATTCCATTCCATTCATATGGCTGATGTTTAAATCATATAAATAGAAAAGATTCAAAAGGCATGCCTGTGGATATATACAATGTATTTATGTATTGACTGCACACATCAAGATAAGGTAAAAACAAGGAACCCTTGGATTTGAATGTAGACCTGTCCTTTTACTACACAGAGAAACCATGTGTTGCTGTATAGATACATTACGGCCCAGCAAGATAGTATTTTAACTCATTCACCCCTGAAACTTCATAATGAACTATTCCAGCTTTTGAATTGGAAGAATTCAAATGTGTCTGCAGGGGTGAATGAGTTACGGCAATTATAAAAACCAATGGTATTGATTCATGATAATCATTATGCTGTTCAAATGCTGTAATTATCCTTTATTTACCATACATTTCAACAATTAAGGCAGCACAGTTATAATAATGCTAAACAAAGTACCATGGTAGCAAAAAATCAGCAGAATCCATCTTTAAGAGGCGTGATAATTAAATTTACATGCATTTAATTGTTAATGAAACAGCTTTTTGTCAAATATAAAAGATCTTTAACACTTTAAAGCTAGGTTTTATTGAAACATTAATGTAATAATTAATCCTTTAAGAATATCCGTCACTTATGATGGTTACATGTTTTGGTATCCGATATCCCTGATCAGTATACTGTTTTTGCATGTTCATCTTGTTTTCCTTGCATGTTTATCCACTCCATCATTTAATTGTCTGTTTTGTATGATTTATGCACCAATGATAGAAGGAATATATAAATTTAGTTGTTTCAGACTTAAGACTGTAAGCTACCATACTAGAATTCAGGTTTTATATTACCTTACTGGGACCTGGAGATTTAATGGTGTATGCTACCTCATTTTGACATGGAGACTTAAGGGTGGGTGTATGCTACCTTACTTTGACATGGAGACTAAAAGTTGTATGTTACCTTACTTTGACATGGAGACTAAAAGTTGTATGTTACCTAATACTGTGACATGGAGACTTAAGGGTGTATGCTACCTTACTGTGACATGGAGACTAAAAGTTGTATGTTACTTAATACTGTGACCTGGAGACTTAAGGGTGTATGCTACATTACTGTGACATGGAGACTAAAAGTTGTATGTTACCTTATACTTTGACATGGAGACTTAAAGTTGTATGTTATTGTACTGTGACCTGGAGATTTAAGGGTGTATGCTACCTTACTGTGACATTGAGAATTGAGGCTATATGCTACTTGATTGTGACATGGATTTTGACTTAACCAATATGTTACCTAACTGTAACAAGTATACCTAAAGACATATGTGACCTTTTTGGGAAATGTTCTGTTAATTCAAAATGTTGTTGAAAATTTGAGTGGTAAGAATGAGCTCTTACAAAGGGGAGTAATTACAAAACTGTCAATAAGGTAACAGTATCACATATGTAAATATGTAAACAGGATGAGGACCCTATAAATGCTCGCGACCAACGCAATCCTACTCCAGATGAGGAGATGTATGAAGAAGTAAGTTCTATTTGATGCAAACATAACAGGCACCATGATTATAATTCAAATATGATCACACCAAAGCTTGACTATTTTACTTACATGCAAAGCTTTGAGTGATGTATTTTTTCCCTGATCGAACATGAGAAAAAAGAAAGTTTCTGTTGGAGTTGGAGGAATGTCCCTAATGCTCCAAACAATGATTCAGTGATTTTAAATTTGCGAGCCTGTTATCTTTGTAATAACTCTGTACTCTAGTGGTCTAACAAAGCTAACAATACATTGTGTTAAATTAGTTTGTGTAGTTGCTGTCTAAAATGTAGAGTTTGTAACCAGCAGCTCTGGTATATATACCAAGTATGTGATGTAACCAAGCTAACCATACTTTGAGTTAAATCAGTTTGTGTCGTTGCAGTCTAGAATGTAGAGTTTGTAACCAACAGCTCTGGAATATATACCAAGTATGTGATGTACCAAAGCTAACCATACTTTGTGTTAGATCAGTTTGTGTAGTTGCTGGCTAGAATGTAGAGTTTGTAACCAGCAGCTTTGGTATATATACCAAGAATGTGATGTAACAAATCTAACCATACTTTGTGTGAAATCAGTTTGTGTAGTTGCTGTCTAGACTGTAAAGTTTGTAACCAACAGCTCTGGAATATATACCAAGTATGTGACGTAACAAAGCTAACCATACTTTGTGTGAAATCAGTTTGTGTAGTTGCTGGCTAGAATGTAGAGTTTGTAACCAGCAGATCTGGTATATATACCCAGTATGTGATGTAACAAAACTAACCATACTTTGTGTGAAATCAGTTTGTGTAGTTGCTGGCTAGAATGTAGAGTTTGTAACCAACAGCTCTGGTATATATCCCAAGTATGTGATGTACCAAAGCTAACCATACTTTGAGTTAAATCAGTTTGTGTCGTTGCAGTCTAGAATGTAGAGTTTGTAACCAACAGCTCTGGAATATATACCAAGTATGTGATTTAACAAAGCTAACCATACTTTGAGTTAAATCAGTTTGTGTAGTTGCTGGCTAGAATGTAGAGTTTGTAACCAACAGCTCTGGTATATATCCCAAGTATGTGATGTAACAAAACTAACCATACTTTGTGTGAAATCAGTTTGTGTAGTTGCTGGCTAGAATGTAGAGTTTGTAACCACCAGCTCTGGTATATATCCCAAGTATGTGATGTAACCAAGCTAACCATACTTTGTGTTAAATCGGTTTGTGTAGTTGCTGTCTAAAATGTAGAGTTTGTAACCAGCAGCGCTGGTATATATACCAAGTATGTGATGTAACAAAGCTTGCTAACTCTGCTCCTAACCATAATCTGAGTGTTGTTTTATCTACAGCTTGATGTGCATTTTATTTACCAGGTGTGGAATTCACAATTTAAAATCTGGGTAATCCTGCCTCATCATTAATAGTGTTGTTGGGGGCAAATACTGCATAAAAAAAACACTTATGTGTACAGTATTGAATTTGCAGTTTAGATCATTCACCCCTGAAGACACATTTGAACTCTTCCAATTCAAAGGTTGGAATAGTTCATTATAAAATTTCAGGGATGAATGAGTTGAGACATTTTTTTCAGCCTTTGATAATTTGGTCAATATACATCGTAACAATTCCTAATTTTTGCATGTAATTCTATTCCACTAAAAAAATCTGGAAAGTTTACAATCAGTTTATGGGTTTGTCTTGTAGATACACAAAACCTGATATATTTACTTATCACTGAATAAGCTAATCGCCTTTTCACTAATTTGCCCCTGAAATTTTATTATGAACTATTCCAACCTTTGAATTGGAAGAGTTCAAATGTGTCGTCAGGGGTAAGCATGTGGCCAGTCCTCTTAGGTGACAAATGTCTACTGTGATGGTAAGTCACCGGTTCATATCTTTCCGCATAAATTGTGAAAAGACCACAGCTGATTGGGGTCACTCAAGGGTCAATTTAAAGTGCAATCTCACTGAAACGCCATAACCTGGCCACGGTTATATGACACCCCAGCTGACCCCATTATACTGACACCGGGCTGACCAAACTTGTGCCAAGGGAGTTAATGACCAAAAAATAGTAGTTATGAGAGTGAAAAAAGAAAATGCAAAGCATCACAGAAAAATATATGATAACACTAAATAATAAATTTGGTATCAGTAGGCGTACTCGCACACATTTATCAAAGCAGAAGGAATTAAATATGTATGTCTGAATAAAATGGAGGCTGGAGGTCTAAGGGCAAGGTCAAAAGGTTGCCTAGTAACATATTTTAAAAACAGATTTTGTTGTAATTAAATAAAATTATTGCAGTTATTTCCATATTTTTTTTACTAATAATTAAATCTGAATTCCCCATTTTAAAGTTAAGCATCATGATAACCTCATATGAGAGTCAAAATATTTGAAGGTTATACTCGAGAGTTTGATAAATGTTATGATTTTTAATTTTAAGAAAATCTCTTAATTTATTTATTATTCATAACTTAAAATCTCAAATGGTTTTGATGTTTACATTCTGTTATTTCATATTCATAGCTTGTTTGAATTTAATTCCTTTGATGTCCAAAATGCTACTGTAACAAATTCTTAGTTATAAATATTCTATGTTTCTAAGTTTGATTTTCAAATCTGTTTGCTCAGTAACAATCTACATTATTAATACTAACTGTGTGGTTTGAATTTAAGTTTATACAAAACTATATATTTGTAACTAATTTAAAACTTTGATGGTTTTGTGAAGCATGCTTTGAAAGTCATATACTCTTATGATTTATGCTACATGATTGATAAAAATGCGTAAAAATTGCCTGATATCCATTCATTATATAAGAACGAAACCTAATGTATAGTGAACAACTCTGTCTGTTAATGTAAAAGAAGAATTCACACTTTATTTGGGTATTCGGTCCAAAACAATTATATACTCATTATTCAATCGATTATCGATCGTTTTACTACTTCTGATTACAAATCGACTATTGATTTTGATTTTAAACTGATTGCCCTTCACTACAATATAGCAGTCACTTATTTCATTGGTATAACCAGATACCTAATTATTACAGTACATAAATGTAACTGATGCTGATGTTTTGCAGGCTAAGCCACGGAGAGGTATACAGAGTAGAAGTACCATCGGTTTCCTGTACTTTGACAAAACAGAGCCACAAAAAGATAGGACTGAGGTAAGTTTGTTTTAATCTATCTAACTCATTCACCCCTGAAATTCCATAATGAACTATTCTAACCTTTAAATTGGAAGAGTTCAAATGAGTCTTCAGGGGTGAATGAGTTGAAGAAAAATTATTTCAGGGAAAATTTTGATTTTTCTGTTAAAAAACACAAAAATTAGAGATAATCTTGTAATTTGGTTAACTCATTTACCCCCTGAAATTTCCTAATGGACTATTCCAACCTTTGAATTGGAAGAGTTCAAATGTGTATTTAGAGGGAATGAGTTAACTGCTGAGATGCAAGTTAAGAGTGTTGTATGTTAAAGATTAGTATTTATAAAACATTTAAAATTGAGCATTAATGGTTTATAGTAGTTTGTTACTGACCAAAGCAATTTGATGCTCAATAGGACAGAAATTACAATTTTCAAAAGATTTTTTTATGATTTCTAAAACATGCAGTCATTTTTCAAATCCATGTGACCTAATAACGGATGAAGAGGGTCATTTAGAAATAGATAAGGTTCAGTTTCAATTGTATTGAGGATCATTGGAAAGGCTTGCTTATAAATTTAACCTATAAAACCATATTTTATTTTATCAACCTGACATAAAAACTGGCATCATTCTGGAAGATGATTTAGCAATGACATCATTTAACTAATTATGATGTCATAATGAGGATCAACTCTTACAAAATCTTTACTGACATACAATAGTTTCATAGGAAATTCGCAGATTAATTCTCTGCGACCAGAAATGTTGCATGGCGTTGAAGTCTGAACTTTATCGTTGTAAAACATGCCCCCTCCTACTACAACCACAACACCGGAACCGACTATTACAGGTAAACGTAAACGTACTGGACAAAATCTCGCGGTTACGCATGAACTCTTGATGACTCAATTTTGTTCTGTGCACCTTTCTGGCCAATGCATGTATGGCATTCTTGTTGGAAATACAAAAAAACTCTCTAAGATCTGCTGTAAAAGGCTTTGAGAATTTTTAGAATTATGCATGTATGATTGTAGGTCGGCAGCATGCTGAAGACTCCCAAGTTACCAATATGGCTGACCAGTACCAACGGTCAGATTGGACTGCTGTTCAGCAACAAAATTGAGCTGGTCTCTGATTGGAGGGTTGAGAACCGTTTCTCACTACAGTACTATACTGGACTATCGGCCCACAAACCCTGTACACTCGAAATAGGTTAGTAGTTATTTTACCTACTCATAAAGTTCCTTGTAATTTCACTCACTTTGTAAAATGTAGGATACATTTTATTCCAACTGTCAATATTTCTAGGAATTGCAAGAACAAATCAATATGAGCCCACTTGACCTACACCAGTCTGTATCCTGATCCGATACTATAGATACACTGAATTCTCAGCGAATATATTCAATCACTTGATCAGATTATTGCCAGGAAAAATGGAGGGAGAAAGGATATGTATGGAGTAAGACAATGTTTATGATAGGCAAAACAAAATGTAAATTGGACCTGATAACTCCAGTGAGTCAGGGTTTGTTTTAAAATAGGCATATAATAACTCATCTAAAAGCTCTATATAAACTAACCAAATCAAAATATTATTATGAAAGAATAGCATTAAGAACTATTTTATACAAGTGAATGTTTTTCATTTGAAAAGTGTTTGGGTATTTGAGTCATACTGAAGTTTGTCACCTCACGGAAATGGTAATGATAGAAATCATGATCTTGCTCCCCGAGAAAAGGTTGTTCCGCCGGTAACTAAACAATTTCTTTAAAGTGAATCATGAAACAAAATAAAACCACCCTAAAAAATAAAGTAAAAGTTTTATTGTTTTGAAAATATAATAACAAATGGAATGAATCTGTTTTAAAGGGTCTGGTCGGGGAAAACATGTCATATTTGCTAAAATGGCATTCACATGTTTAAAATACCTTCTTATGAAATATACCGATTCAAATTTGCTGAAATTCACTCCCTAAGAGTAAAAATTATAATTATATTAAAGAAATCCTAAATCGTCACCTGACAGTCTGAAACTCTCAATTGACCCAGATCAGTGATGTAATTTTACCGCACGCGCGTCATCAACAAGGCAAATGTAAACATCGCGGCGAAAGAAAAAGATGCATGCAAAAGTCATGACAGGCACAAGGTATCAATACAGTTATATATAACAACAACATATAGGTAGGAATACTACACTTGCATCATACATGACCTTTGAAAACAATTATTTATGTATAGTATCGCTGTCTTATCCGCTAGTTGAGTCGACATAGCACATGACGGCGTGCTATTGTTGTTATATTCACTGCCTCACTTTTCGAAACTACCACGTGCCATATATAAATAGATCTGCGCTAAATTTACGCGGGGCTTCCCCGAGATTTCAGTGGTCAAAACTGGACATTGCAAGCAGAATTTGACCATCATATTGCCGTGGTATAACTTTTGGAAGGCCAGAGAACGCATTTAGACCCATTTATTTTGTAATTTTTTCCCCGACCAGCCCCTTTAACATTAATAATGATTTTAAGTCAGCACGGTTTTGTTCAAATGCGGTACCAAGATTCATCGTTGGAATATGATTGTACAAAACTGTGTTGCATGTGTACATACAAGTAAAAGAATTTGAACCTTAAGAAATCTAGCTCTCTATCTCATCAGGGCTATGTCTTGAAAGTTTGTGACAGACACAAATTTGGAGATTGTTCTGGTTTCATATGTGGTGCAGGAATACTAACTTTAGTGGTATCATAATGTCTTTCCCATTGTTTTGGTGTCTCCTCCGTTCCTGTTGTTGTCTTTCCTTTGTATTTGGTGTCTCCTCAGTTCCTGTTACTGTCTTTCCCATTGTTTTGGTGTCTCCTTCATTCCTGTTGTTGTCTTTCCTGCTGATTTGGTGTCTCCTCAGTTCCTGTTACTGTCTTTCCTTTGTATTTGGTGTCTCCTCAGTTCCTGTTACTGTCTTTCCCATTGTTTTGGTGTCTCCTCCGTTCCTGTTGTTGTCTTTCCTGCTGATTTGGTGTCTCCTCAGTTCCTGTTACTGTCTTTCCTTTGTATTTGGTGTCTCCTCAGTTCCTGTTACTGTCTTTCCTTTGTATTTGGTGTCTCCTCAGTTCCTGTTACTGTCTTTCCTTTGTATTTGGTGTCTCCTCAGTTCCTGTTACTGTCTTTCCTTTGTATTTGGTGTCTCCTCAGTTCCTGTTACTGTCTTTCCTTTGTATTTGGTGTCTCCTCAGTTCCTGTTACTGTCTTTCCTTTGTATTTGGTGTCTCCTCAGTTCCTGTTACTGTCTTTCCTTTGTATTTGGTGTCTCCTCAGTTCCTGTTACTGTCTTTCCTTTGTATTTGGTGTCTCTTCAGTTCCTGTTACTGTCTTTCCTTTGTATTTGGTGTCTCCTCAGGTCCTGTTACTGTCTTTCCTTTGTATTTGGTGTCTCCTCAGTTCCTGTTACTGTCTTTCCTTTGTATTTGGTGTCTCCTCTGTTCCTGTTGTTGTCTCTCCTGCTGATTTGGTGTCTCCTCAGTTCCTGTTACTGTCTTTCCTTTGTATTTGGTGTCTCCTCAGTTCCTGTTGTTGACTTTCCTGCTGATTTGGTGTCTCCTCAGTTCCTGTTGTTGACTTTCCTACTGATTTGGTGTCTCCTCAGTTCCTGTGTCTTTTCATATCATCATTGAATTCGTTTTGTTCTGCTGTGAAAATACTGTAGTATTTTAAGTTTTGTTTTATGTTCAATAAGATAGATTTCAATTTTTTAAAAAGATGTTAATGTTTTTCTCCAAAGAAACAAGAAATGGTCGAACCATCAGAGGACAGACACTTCTAACAAGGCGCAAGGAAGATGACAGGATTCCATCCCTGGAACAAGGAATCATGACAAAGTAAGTCTATTTCTACTCCAAAACCCAAAGTCGTAAAACCAAACATTTGATAAATTTACCCCAAGAGTGGTGATTATTTTCTGTCGTTCCCCAACATGGGGAAAGATTCTATTATACTGTAGTCACTGAAATTTATAGTATAGTATTTCATTCGAGTAAGATTCATCACTTTGGTTATTATATCAAATATAATACATTCTGATACATTTCCAAACCAAGCGGTTCCATTGTCGAGGTATGACCTAATGTTAGTCGGAATTATTCTGACGTTTTATCGACTTTTTTTTATATCGGTCCGTCGTCGATTAACGTCAGAACTCCGGCCCTCTATAATATGCGGGAAATATGCGACCCGCGCCCAGAGCGCACTTTAGAAACAAATCGTCACTTTCGCACACATGTCGCACTTGGATCGAAAGATCTATTCTTGATGCACAAGATGAACATACATAACATGCCTCAAACAACCAATACAATCACTAAAAACATATTTTTTCAAACTTACTCTGTTTTACTCTAGTTTTTTGATAGCCCCCGCCTTCTAATGCCACGTGACTAAAATCTCGCCGGCCTACGTCATAATGTTGGGAAATACCTTCGGTAACGCGAGATCTCGTCAAGTCATGTGACATTGCTCATGGCCTAATTTCCATTAAAAACATGGGTTGGTATAGAAAACGTTGGAACATACTTTTCGTAATGATCTTTGAAACATGTTATTGATACCACCTAGTGCATAAAGAATAGATCTTTCGATCCATGTGCGACATGTGTGCGAAAGTGACGATTTGTTTCTAAAATATCAGTTTGAAGTGCGCTCCGGGCGCAGGTAGCATATTTCCCGCATATTATAGAGGGCCGGAGTTCTGACGTTAATCGACGACAGACCGATATAAAAAAAGTCGATAAAACGTCAGAATAATTCGGACTACACCTAATGTGTGAAAACTCTAGTTGATAATGCGTCTCAATAATAGCCGAGAAATCACTTTGTCCTGACAACAAGGCCAATATTTGAGCCATATATGTCAACGTTTTCCTGCAAATTTTGGGTAAATATGTAGCTTAGGTACACATGATATGAATAACGTGAACATTGCTACCAAAGTGCAGAATAATCAAGCTTATAACATAGCATTAGCAATATGTATATGGCTTTATTTTGCTATTGGATGAAACTTTGTTATTCATTAAATGAAATAAGAATTATGACATTGATGTACTCGTTCATATTAATTTCTTTTGATGTGATATTTTGTTATTAAAATTACACTCAACTTTTTCTACATGAATATATTACAACCACATATTTTGCATGTGTGATATTGAAGCAGACAGTGTATTAAATAAATGCCTAACAAGTAAGTGTATACCGTACACTTAATTCTAATAGTTAAATGCAAGACAGTTAAAGAGTAAAACTCCTGACGATTTGATCAGTTAATAATCAGCCATTGAGCAAGTCAAACACCCGACAATTAGTTCATTAGTCAAATGAGTTAATTAAATGTCCGACATTTGATTAGTTAACTAAATCAATACATCACAAAATCGACTCTAATGTAAATTTATGATTCTTCGAAGCCGGTCTAGGTTGTACGAAATTTGCTAGTTTTTCGAGAGGCAATAGAAATTGCTTTATTGCTTGAAATAAAACATACATGAACCAGTCGATAAGCTAGCTATCCGCACCTAGTCAGCAAAATTATTTGAACTTTAGGGTCGGACTAATACATAAAATTTGACCTGCAAAATGTTTAATTGAGATTACGCCATTGGACCGAAATCGAGATTTGAGTAAAGTGGTGTGGTTTATTATAATTAAACAAAATTTTAACAGATATATTGTTATTATGCATTTTTGTCAAAGTGTTTAATTGTTACCAAGGTAAAACTTCTGAATCGACACCACACTACACATTTACGTCGAGAAATCAGAAAATATGTTGTGCCGATTATTTGTTTTGAAGTGTTTTTCCCCCTCTAAACTTACGTTTGTTTATCCACAGATGGTACGGCGCAGCCATCAAATGGCAAGGATGTGATCCGTTCATTTGATGTGCCTTCTCCAATGACTTTAAGCAGTGTTTTTTTGGGACCAATGACTTTCATAAAAAACAATTTCATTGGTACAAAAGCTGACTAATGAAATGGGACATAACATCATCTTTCATCAATATTTAACTATAATCGATCTGAAGACATTAGAGTCAGAGTTCAGTTTATTGCAGACAGGGATTTGATGGTATGTACCTCAACGTCCCCGTGGTTCAGAGCCGTTTCTGTGAACCAATGACTCATCAAACTTATCTGTTAATCAAATGTGCCACATACAAAGCATCATGAGAGAGTGATTTAACGCAGCTTCCTGTACATTTTACGGTCCTTTAGAACTGTCTTTGATTTTTGGTATCTCTGAAAAAAACCCGAACATATTTGATACTAGAAAAGTAACTATAAAAGATTTATATAGTTTTTAAATAATTGACAAAACAGAGAAAAGGAAAATGTGAAAAACACGAGAATATGAAGGATGAAATTTATTTTAAAGAGCAATGCATGTATTTCTTGTTTTCTAACGATCATTTTGAAACCTTATAAATGTAAATTTAGTTTCGATTTTTTTTAAAAGGAAGTGAAGTTTAAATGAATTTGTTATCAGGCTGAGGCCATTTGGGAATTGCCTCCGATCAAAACATATTTTATTATGAAAGCGTTAATTAGATAGTGGAGGGTACTTTCATTTTCCCGATACAATTACGTATTAATGTGTTGATGAGGGATAAATCATGTATGTTGTAAACCTGTCGCCGGATGATGATAACAGCGAATCTCAACGTCATTACAAACAGTACGATTTTTTTCTTTCTGACAATATCTGTCTGTAAATGTTATTAATGAAATGACATATCACACATAGAAAAAGATAATTACTGCAAACAAAGCATTTTACAATATTACAGATTGTTATTGTGTCGGTAGGTAAATTGCCCTTTTGTCCCTTAAAATGTTAAATTTGAAATGAGCAATTTATTTTTAAACAATACCATTGGTTGCTAATCATGTCAGGTTATGGGACGGATTTAAAACAAATGTCCGAGTAATCTCATTTTTGATTGTAGAATGCTTTTAATGTTTCAGGAAACATGACAAAGTCGTTACAAATAAACTCTTAACCCTAGTTATTTAATACGGGTATCGCCATATTACCATTCTATTTCTATCGGGGATAAAATGATTAAATGCGATATCATCCAATACAAACACTGAAATGATCCCCTGATGTTTCCTGTCTGGGTAGTCGAAGTGCTTCACAAGAGTCTCACTGATCGTGAAGATATAGAAAACCAGCAGATGTTCATATAGTTATAAATGTCCCGTTGTTATCAAACGTTTTAGTGCTGTTCTCGGAAAGGTTGTTTGAAAGCATGGCCATCATATGAATACCTGGATAAGGACCCTTCATACAGCTATATCTTTCTGGACACGTCAGTAGATATCCATATTGCTACCAGACCTGCATTAGGTTTCATCCTTCTCTGATAGTGTAATAAATACGTCCTCAGTAATGACACGTTTTATTGGCCAATTTGTAAATTCGAACGTTTCATATTGTTCACAGTTGATCGTCAAAATAGTGTTAAATAATCTTAATGTAGGACTTTAACTGTAATAGGAATATAAAGGGCTGACAAAACGGCTTAGAAGAAAAAAACTAGTGATCAGGAAGTATGTTTGGTTTCTGTTATTAAATGATATGGCCATAATGTTATAATGACCTGAAAAAAGGGTGTATTTATCCTGATTATAATTGGTTAATCTATTCAAATATATATGTTTTTATTTAAAATTTAGTAGGGGACTATTGCAAGAATAGGTCTGAAAAGTGTATATGTATAGTCTTTATTTAATTATTCAGATTGGACAAATAATTCTTTGTAACGCTATAGAGCAATGTGTTCTAATATGAACAGATTTCAGACTCTATTGTTTTTATCTGGATGAATATCAAGCTTAGAGGACGATATTAGCCATTTCAGTAGGAAACGTCCAACAAAGGTTACGTCTGTACTTGTTTTAGACGTCTCCGCTTCAATTAAATGTTATTTAAAATAGGCAATAAATGTCTAAATGTTGATTGTACATCTTTTGAATTGGTAAACATGTTTTCAGCCAAGTTTTAATTTACTATTAGACCTCACCACAATTTGTAATCAAACTAGCGACAAAAATACGTGTATTTGAAGAAAGTGACAGAAACGTTATACTTCTTCTTTGTGTTCTTTCTGGAATTGTTGTTTTAAGACAATTGTTTATTGCCCGTGCTATATATTATCAGGGAGGTATTTTTGTCTCTTACTGTGTGCCAAGCGTTCAGGAATCTCGAGTATTTTCTGTTGATCTTCAAACACATTCTGTGGTACCAATATTGTTCAATATTTAAAATCCGTTCATTTTCTACAAGACTCGCATACCCAGTCACATCACTTATCCGCTTGTTCTAGCATCCCAGCCATCTGACGACCCAGACATTTTTGCTGTGATCGAGAGGGATAAATGATGTTTAACGAGACTCCATTTTAATTCTTTCTGTATCTTTTTGAAGCAACGGTGCCATACAATTTCGTGTTTCTCTATCTTCGAATATCTTTCACATACGTTTAAAAAATGTTAATTCAACCTGTGTTTCAGGGCAATGAGTGACATTTTCTAATCGAAGTAGTCATTCTACACCAGTGGTCTTGCAACCAAGATTGGATGAACAAGACTCCATCTTAATTTTTATTGTAGCTTTTTGGCACAACGATGCCTTGCCATGTGTTTATTTGTTTCTCAAAACAAACACGGTTCCGTTATTTACTGTTGTTGAAGTCTGATGATGCGGATTTCCTGATTATTGTTTATCATATATAGTCGTTTTAATGTTTACTTCTACATTTTAAAGTTATTTAATAACTGTTGCCAAATTAGACATAATGTGTCACTTCCTGCAGTATACAGAATATATTTCTCAGTATTTATACTTAATCTTTAGCTACAGTGTCAATTCTTCAACCAAATCTGAAAGAATATGTTTTGCACAAATATTATATTTTAATCGTTGAAATCAAATTTTCTATATTTTCTATGTTTAATTTTTCACTATCTAGTCAATCACATACAAGAAAGTGTGTTTGCTATTTGTATATGTATAAACTTTGAGTGTTTTAGTTTTATATATTTGAAGAAAAGTATTCTTTAGTCAACATATTTTTGTATTAAGTAAAAATCTATGTTAAAATGAGTGGAAATTGTTCTATTTTAATTAAATATTTATTTCAAATGTCATATCATTGTTTCAAAGTATTGTTAATTTGTGTAATTTTTATATAATTTATATCTATTTGTGATTGGTGATAAAAACAAGACACATGACCGATTATGTTAATTGCTTATGTAATGTGAGACTGTGTGCCAAGACCCTGAAAAAATCACGGTGTCATGAACCTCTCTCTCTCTCTCGAGCGAATACATTCTTGATATGTAGGGTTTAACGAATGCCAACTATTTCCATGTACCATTATTGTGCTTCAGTTGCGTTTTTAAGCTGCAGAACGGAGATTTATTCAAATCAAATGACAGTAGCAGCCATCACATTTCGGGAGTATGCTCTAAAACAAGTTCCATAGATGGGTATGTTCAGCTAGCTCTGCGTTCCATCATCGTTAAAAGAGGTTGCTTTGGATGTATCGACTCTTATTGCCATGTGATCAAATGATTTTATAGAACAACCATCGATGGTACCTAATAATTAGATTCTGTTATTTAGGTAAAAAGATATCATTGTTTTGATAAAATATAACTTGGTTTCACTGACCCCGTGCAAGTTTGTTTGAACACGTTGTTTACACGGTAATACAGAGCAAAACTATCGTTTAATCTCTTGAATAACATAAATCCGACAGAAATGACAAAAGTAACAATCACAAACGTACAACTCTCTTTTTATAATTTTTCAAATTGTACAAGTAATGGATAGATTATAAGACGAACTCATAAAACATACAAGCCTGCTAAAGTCGAATACAATTCCACTTGAGGTGTGTTTACGGTACTCTCTTTTGATATACCTTGTCATCTTGGTCAAATAAAGACAGGATCCCTTTATAACCGTAAGATTACATCAAAGTATTTCTCTGTTTAACTGCTCCGGGATCCATGATCGTTGGTTCATGGCAATACGCAATAGCGTCCCATTTCTGTTTGGGAAAACACAAGCAAATGTATTGTCGGTAACTCCACATAGCCGTTTTTATAAACGATAATGAAACTCATTCGTCCAGAAGAATATACGAGGATTCTTTCGCAAAAACAGCTCGTAAGAATATCTTATCGCGTGAACTTCCTTTTAGTCAAGTGTTGCTCGGTGTTATTGCTAAAAGTACGACCGTTTCGTTACTATGAGTTTTAGTTTCACTTCAGTTACACTTCATATTGTAAACATGTTTTTAATCTGGAGGATTTAGCTACGTTTTCAATTTTCTTAAGATTGATTGTTTTATTTCTTTTAATATTTACCTCATTGTGTCCATATCACACAATAGATCAACGGTCGTGATTGACCGCTGGTCTTGTGTGTATTGTTTTAATATAGTGCCTTAAATTGGCACCAAATTTGTTATGGTTCTTAACAAATCCGACTTAATTCATCACATTCAGATTTTGGTAAACAATTTTTTTTATGAAGTGTCGATGGATCTAAGGTATAAGTTTTAGTATTTTCAAGTTCCTGTTTTTGTGTTTGATTTCAGTTACGTTGCTGTCTGCCTGTCAATAGACAAAATTAAAAATTACATTTTTTACATTGTTACAGCGTTAAATATCTTTTACACTATTTTTAATGGATCAACATGGCATGTTTAGTGTTTATTAATACTGTAAAAGTCTTCTCGGTGTGGAAATGTGTGTATTTTAGCGCGGAAATATCAACCCGCGAATATATATTTAAAGATGATAGATAAACAAAGTATATAGATTTTAGAAGTATTGTCAACGCGATTGTTTCCACACACGAAAATTACCATTCTACAGTATCGTTTTGCTCTACGCTATAATGTGTTTATAGATATGAACTATAGTTTGTTCTATCCGGTTGTTTTGTTTTAAAATTTAGTATCATTTACGCTGTATCTGTCGATAATATATAATTAGATTTTTTTTCAACATTTTGAAGTTTAAAATTTGATGTCCTCTACCCGTTATTTGTCGGCTGGTTGTGTTTATGATTTATAGTTTGTATTCCTTTATAGTGTTATCTGTTGACAGATAGAACTTGTATATCAGTCCGATTATGTTTAAAACTAAATCTCATTTTTTTCTGTTAAAATATACATTGTTTTCTCTACTTGTTTTAGCTATAACTTTCTTTACGCTGCATCTGTTGTCTGATATGAATTGTTTTATCAACTGGTTTCGATTTTTGAAAAGTTGATTTCCGTAATGCTGTATCTGATGACTGATTTAAATTGTTTTATAAATTTGATCAGCTTCTTTCAGTTATAAGATTTGATTGGCTTTTCGACGCATCTGTTAACTGTTTTTTATTGATTTTCTTTTCTTTTATGTTGTATATTTTGACTTAATTAGATCGTTTTATCAACTTGTTTCGGTTATATGATCGCCTTTACGCTGCATCTGTTGATAAATTGTTTTGGTTGTAGAATCTTATATACCCTTCATACTGTTGTTTCTGCTGAACCTATATCTTGTTTCGTAGCTCTTATTTTTTTTATAATTAGGACGAAATTATGTTTAATAAACATAATTTCGTCCTAATTATATAAAAAAAAAAAAATCACACATGGCTACTTTTTTGGATACTGAATTTTAGGTCCAGGGCGAGCCCTGTTTATAACATTAAATGTCCATGTGAAGAAGGTAATTATAAATAGAAATAACTGACTACAAAACTAGCTGCTTTCACCCTTCACAGGGCTCTTCATGGTTTTACTTGGACAATAAGGTCGTTAGATCTGCTTTTTTCTTTAAATATATTTTATTTTGATGTTAACTGATATTTGAACAAGTCCATGTCAACCACGGATGATTACGAGTTAAGTGACAAAGCCTCTATTTAGTTTCTTATCCAGCCACAGGTGCGTAGATGTCAAAGTTTCAAGTAATTTATAATCAAAATTAACAACAGTGCAATCCGTATGTATTAACTGTCTGCATTGTGCCTTTCGTCTATACCGATCGTTGGCATTATGCATTAGTGTGAATTTAGTACATCGCTCCGTGTGCAAAGTGTTTTATTTATACATAATAAAGAAATTGATAATAAAACTCACTTGTTTTTTATATTCATAATTTTTCCGTTTTCAACACTGGCTGTACAGATCTGTTGTCAAATTATTTTTAAAAAATCGCCTCTAGAGATTGTTCAGATTTCTCTAATCTTATGCAGCTTTATCTTAATATTATTTCGTTTGATTATCCCCGAGGCTATTATAGCATCATTGAAACGAAAAAGAAAACAATGTATATGTATCTCGTAACACTTTCATAAATAACGATTTATTCATGTGAAATCGATTAGCGGTCCTTTTGTTCTTTCACAGCAAAAATTGTTAAAAATTTATTTCCGAGAATAATTCGTCATATTTTGCAAAAATTTATATAACCTTTTTTGTTTATGCAATCATTGGAACGAATATGACTTAAATTATCACAAACGCAAGTGTATGTGATGCTAATATGATGAATAAGGAACATAAAACAGAAGTTCGACCGTCATATCTAGCGTTTATACACAACAAACACTCCCGATACAAAAGGTATGTATTATTATTTTCATCTGAATGTAAAATATAAAGGAAACCCTATGTTGAATTTTCGATTTGTATGCTGATTATCATTTCGGAGGCACGTCACTAGAAAAAGCAAGAAAATCGCCGTGTGCAGAGTATGTACATCCTTAGTATTTTAGCCTAACCATCGATGACTAACAGACTACTGTATAGCGGCTATATTTCGTGGGGTTTTAATTTCGCTATATTCGCGCTTTGACTAATATCCGTGAATTCTAAACACCAGCGAAATAATCGAAAATGTTTTAAACGACCTTATCACAACATGTTGAAAAAACTTATAATTCAACCCTATTATGTAAGCTAACATTAACTCAAATCAGAATATCATCGGCCAACTTAGCAGTCCATGCAAAACAAAACTTACATATAAGTGGACCCTACATATTTATGTGTATACAGTAGGTGATTAATTGATAACAGTCTGATCCTACAAAGGTACATACACATTTGCTTTTCTTTCGAGTGAAGTCATTGGCGGAGGACGCACTCGGGATCAGTGATTTCAGACGGTTTACCTGTATTTCGAGGGTTAACCCTTAAATTATGACACTCAAGATACTTTGCATGACACATGGGATTCGGGTGCACAGCGAAATCTAACCCTCGCGAATATATAATGAATATGAAACCGCGAAATATTGACCCTGCGAATGTAAAGCGCTTTAAAGTATATTGTTCCGTATTTAGATGTTTCAGCTTACAATGACACTACTAGATTATCTCGAGTAGTGATTGCTGTTTTTCCGGATACTTTTATCGCAGTGACTTTAGATTTCACTCCTAGCCTACTTATATATGATAAGAAACACAAACCGGAATTTAAAATTTGGTTATAAACCGGACGACTATTCGTCATTAAAAACGAGGCATAGCTCTATCACTGCTATATCGTATTTGATTTATCAACTGCTTACCCCGTGGTTAAAATTGCTTATGATTTAACACAAACACCTTGTTCCGAAATATGTATCTCATACTATGGAGAGTTACAACTTGTCCGACGACCAAACGTATCTCTGACTTTGTCTCTGAAATCCTTCGTGCCTACTGCGTATATCAACGGATTCAAAAAAGAGTTCGTGAATCCCAACAACAGAAGATGAGTTCCAACGATATCCTTCAGGTAGCAGGTCGTATTCCCAGATATCACCTGCACGATCGTGCCAAGCAAAAACGGGAGCCAAGTGACAAGGACACAGCCAAAAACTGCCGACAAAGTTTTAAGAGATTTCATGCTCCTTGGCGAAAATCTCAAAATCCGATTATTTCTTCGATCCAAGTGTAGATTTTCGATGGCTTCAATTCTTTTGATGTGCCGTCTGGCATATTTGTAGATGAGTCCATACATTGTAAATGTTACCAATATTGGTAACAAAACACATGAGGAAAAGAGAAATTTTATGTAGTCTGATGGCAGAACATACAAGAAAGAACAGTAGTTATGATACGTTTTGATCTTCCAACCTATCAAAGGGGCAAACCCAACCACAAGAGCCACAAGCCAGGAAAGGAAAATGACCAAGGATACCCTGCAGGCCGTGACAATTTGTCTGTACGTCAAAGAGTATGTGATGGCGACGAATCGCTCAATGGCAATGCACATCAGGCAAATGATTGAGGACACACAACAGGCTATCGTGAACCCTATCCGCACGAGACACAAATCCATGGTTTCCTCCTTAGCTTGAGTCAACATTGTGCTGATGCTAACAACACCTACTGTCAGATCGGCCAGGCCGAGGTTAGCAATGAGAAGGTAGGCTGGGGTACGGAAGATTTTGTTGGCCACAATCAGACAAAGAACCCCCGAATTACACCCGAGAATCAGAATGGTAATTGGTACAAGTATGATCTGTTTAATTTGTTCGTGGATGTTGTCTGGAAATGGGATACACTGGTCCTCCGTCCGAGGTACGTCCTGGATACTCCCTTCAGCAATAGTGAGGCTTCCGTTAAATAGGTCATCACACATGCATGCTACAGGAACCTTCTGGACGGGACTCGAGTCGATCATTTCTAACCAAACCATTTCAATTCGATGTATATCCATCGTGCTGTAATGTTACCAATATTTCACGAAGAACTGTTGCAGTTCTAAACACAAAACCAAGTAAATGATTCTGATGTTAGCTACTCTAAGGTTGACAATAACCAACCGCTGAATTGTATTCTTTGCCACAGTGTCAGACAACCATTCATTCCGTCCCGATGTTAGTATATGAACTGTTGATAACAAAACATTGAATGTTATGTTTGTGTTGCAGTGTCGGACACATAGCTATCCAAATAATTATGTTGTTAGCTTTTGTAATTCATATAGCCACCACTCATTGAATTGTTGTTTCTATGTTGTCGTGTCAGACACTCAGCCATCCAAACTACACTAAGCCATCCAAACTTCCATGTGCTTAGCCTCTGTTTGGTTGACTGTCACACACGGAATTTGAACTGTGTTATTACTGTGTCGAGCCATCCAACTAGCCTGGTGTTTGCTTATGTAAAGTGACTACCCACACATGTTAGATTCTTGTTTTATGTTGATATTACAAGAAAACCAAACTATCCTAGTGCAATTATCTATAATGTTGAATTTCGATTGTTGCGTTATGTTGCAATATCAGACACAATGTTATCCAAACAGAAGGCTGTGGATGTTGATGACAACCACTTAAGGAATTTGAATTGCGGTGTCAGGCCTTAGCCATCCAAACTTCTAGCTGGTATTAGCTTCTGTATTGTTGACAACAAACATGCGTTGAATTGTTTGCCTCTGTTGTCGTGCCAGATTATAAGCCATCCAAAGTAATTTGATATTATCCTCGGTATTGTTGACAGGTGTCGTGTGTTCAGTTGTTTCGATGTCGCACTGTCGGACGCTTAGCCTTTTAAACTATCCTGGTATTAGCCTCTGTATTGTTGACAGGTGTCGTGTGTTTAGTTGTTTCGATGTTGCACTGTCTGGCACCTAGTCATTCAAACTTTCCTGGTATTAGCCTCTGTATTGTTGACAGGTGTCGTGTGTTTAGTTGTTTCGATGTCGCACTGTCGGACGCTTAACCTTTTAAACTATCCTGGTATTAGCCTCTGTATTGTTGACAGGTATCATGCGTTAGTATGTCGCCCTGTCTGACATTTAGCCTCTGTGTGTATTGCTGACAGATGCTGCATACGACACTAAGTCATTCACAGGTAACCTACGTATCTGACATTCAAATGGCGAATCGTTATTTATCTGATGAGCCGGACATAGCCACTAGTTCCTAATGATACAGATAGTGCCATTGCTGATAAGGTCCGGCACATCAAGTTCTATCATCAGTATCGAGTGTTTGATAAATGGCAACAATTCTAAACGTTGGACAACTAATCGATAGAATGAACATGATTTAACCGACTTTTAAGTACACTCGATCATTTGGTCTGATACGACTGGATGTAGGTTAAGTCGGTCTTTTAGAGTCATAATAAGAGCTAAGTGAACTTCACTAACAACCACGAGAATGGGCACTCTTCGTCAGATATGACAGTTTATCGGTAAAGTCAGCCTTTTATTGTAATACAACCATCCTGAATATTAAGGTTCCCTGTCCCAGTTCATGCCACACACTAGAGAGTTCCAATGTAGTTTTTCCCTACATTTCGTTTGTGATACAACTGTAGCGCAACTGGGCCCTGGATCTTCTGTGCACCAGGAAGCTCATGTATTTGTTTCAAGGTTTCGAATCCTGGTCTGGTTCACTGCTGTTGTATTTTTGTCATATGTAGATCTATCACATGATGTACTGTGTTATCCAGTGAATATACTCATGTCATATTTGTTTGCGTATTAACCCATGTTATATGACCTATCAGCCCTGTGATCGGTTGTAAGTTTCAATTGTTTCAATTGTGACGTCACGCCCAGGACAATTTGAGTCAAAATGGCGTCTTTTTCCATTTCAAGACTGCGTGAAAATTGTTGTTTTACACGAATAAATGCCACAAATCTTGATTATGTGATAAAAACGATCTTACACTCGTTTTCATTTCATATGAAATTTATGAAACTCGTCAAGAATGTTTCATTTTAGCTCGCCAGAGGCTCTCTAAATTGAAAAATCCTGAGACTCGTTTCGTAAATCTCATATGAAATGGAAACTTATGTAAGATCCTATATATACGTGTTGTTTAGAAATAATTTATCAAGGCTGTTGTCATGGAAGAAAAAATATCCAATGCAAAGTTTCCGGCAGTTTTACAGAAATCCTTAAAGTCATGTGACCTTACCAGTATCAATAGGGACTGAATCAGAAAGACAGTTCGTCGATATGTAAGGGTCATTATCAAATTATATTGAATATCATTGGATTTCTTTTTAGTCATGTATCACTAAAACAGAACCCTACTATGTGCAGTGTATATAAATATCGTACATCTGCTGTAGATGCTTTGTTGTGTTCAATTATTTCTTAACTTAATTCTAAATTTTGATGCAAATTTACTGATTTTTCATATCTTGCTTTTGAAAATACTTGTTAAATAAATAAATGTTTAACGACTCAACAGACTAGAGTTTTGTTTTTTTGAGAACAGAAACATATGTATACCCCTTAAGGCCATTAGGTGTACATTTCGTTATCACTTATTTCACCTTTTGCCACGAGGTGAAGGTCATGATGACTTAATTACTTCTGTGGGTGTAGTAGCTATGTTTAGTATCACCAGAAGATGTTTAACGTTGTAAAAAATACGGCCTGGGTAACATAAAGTATGAAGAAGAAGAAGAAGAAGAAGAAGAAGAAGAAGAAGTAGAAATAGAAGAAGAAGAAGAAGAAGAAGAAGTAGAAATAGAAGAAGAAGAAGAAGAAGAAGAAGTAGAAGAAGAAGAAGAAGAAGAAGCAGAAAAAGAAGAAGAAGAAGAAGAAGAAGAAGAAGAAGAAGTGGAAGAAGAAGAAGGTACATGTACTAGCCTCGTCTGTCATTACGCCTATGATTATATATAGTATAGGTGTATTAACAGACGATGGGAAACCACTATCGGTTTGCACACATCGCGGCATCAGACTATAAAGTTAGGACAGACAATGTGATTTGTCAATTTTTTCCTTTTTCTTTTCTTTTTTGCTAATCGGCCCCTTTACAAAGACAAAAACATCAAACTGAATAAAAGAATGTATTTTTTTCTCTCTATAATTTTAAAAATCAAATCATTTGATATAATTAGACGGCGTACAGAAACTTGTCTCGAACCAAGAGAGATAACTCTAGCTTACCACATTCAGCCCGTTGTTGCAGGTTTTGTCTTAAACTTTTGTTTGCTTAAAATATAACTGATAACATAATGTATGAGTGTGTGGTTCAAACATTATATTAGTTCGTACCTCATGATTCAGACATGCAATCAGTCTAGGCTTTAATCATTATTTTAATCTCAAAACATGTATGAAACAACATTCTTTAAATGGATCCTTATTTATTCTTTTCTGACTTATTAAAGTATCGCTACTATTTATGCATGCGATAACATGAACCTATAATTTATTTCTAGATTTTTTAAAGTCTTAATCGGGTGTTTAGCCGGTAAATATGTTTTCTTTTGTATTTTTTCAAAGATATACATTCATATTCATCAACGGGATAAATAAACCCACCATTGGAACAAAAAAAAATGTGTTTTAATTATTAGCCATGTGTTATACCCGACGTTTGGAGGGTTGAATGTTTTTTTAAATGAAACTTCAAACATTGATGTATAATTTCTGGACAGGGTGTTATATTAATTAAGAAAATATGGGAATATTTATCGAAATGAGTGATTAATACTGCGAAAATAGTACCCATTCGCTAATATTACGTCAACTGAAACATTGTGTTCACTGGCACTAACTATTGCACAAGTATTTGAAAACTTAAAAAATCGTTTTTATTCGTAGCATTGTCTATCCAATGATGAATTGTCTGAGTATCTCATTGTTTTGGAGAGGCATTTTCCCCAGAAGATACAGCCTAAATAATGCCATGGTTGCGTTCAGTTGGAAACCTGAAAAATGTGTTTAGGCATTATTTGAAGGATAAACAGTTTATCGTATTTCACGTATTTTTAAGAGGAAAGTGCGTTTCACAAAAGATAAATAGAAGACTCCGCATAACATTGAAAACATATCTCTTAAATATATTGAAATGCTATTAAAAATTAATTAAAATTAATATACGGAGCTCTCCAAAAGGGGTTCTCTACATGATATTCTATTTCTGTTTTTGGCCTTTCGGCGCAAGATCAAATTTGTTTTTTTCAATGTCCCTCAAGCAGAAGTTACAGAAGAAAATCCAATATTCTGCAAGGGAGATCAAAAGTAATAGTCTCTTACGAAACCATGTAGAGGGGTACAGCAGGTGCTTTGTTACTTTTCTTATTGCATTTTTTGTAAGAGTTGTCGCCCTTGGACCGTTTGTAAAATATCCCATGTATGTTGTTTTATATTTACAGACTGTCGTGTCATAATTCGTGTACTAAAACCATGTCACTAAGAAATCTATAAATGCTATCACAAAGGAATATTGATAAGAACACTTTTTACCAATTCTATATATAAGTAACCTACACCCTGTTTGCAGTTTTTAAAAGACTAATATTTTTCATTCATAAAAGAACTTTTTTTTCATTCATCTAAGTTAGTTTTTGGCTTAGAAAAAATTGAGATAATGATACCAAATATGAAATACAATCCGATGATTGTATTTGAATTGTTAATATGTCAAAATTCACAATGACATCCTCTAAAAATAATTGACACCCGGCTTTACGGACACCTGACTTTGCTGACACCTGGATTTGCTGACTACTTATTTAACCGAAACCCGAGTCAGACGTCGCCTGACTACATTGGAAACTGATTCACTTATATCTGACTAAATCGTCGCCTAACTTTTCTTACACCTGACTAAAGCGTCACCTGAAATTACTGTATTCTGTCTTTAGTTAAACCTGCTGACACCGGACTTTACTGACACCCGACTTAACTGACATCTGACTTTATCGACACCTGACTTTACTGACACCCGACTTTACTGAAACCTGAATTAACTTGCAGCCGAATTTATACCCGATTTAACTGAAACCTGATTTTACTGGCCCCCGACTTAACCGACATCTGACTTAACCAACTCTCGATTTAACTGAAGCCTGAATTTATTTACACCCGACTTAACCGACATCTGACTTAACCAACTCTCGATTTAACTGAAGCCTGAATTTACTGACACCCGACTTTACTGAAACCTGAATTGAATGATAATTGATTTTACCGATACCCGACATTTCTGTCACCTGATTTAACTGACGCACGGCTTTAACATTTATCCCACTTTAACCTGACTTTATCGACACCTGCTCTCACTGACATATGACTTTATTGTGTCTGGCTTTACGGACACCGGTTTAAGTGACAACTGACTATACTGACATCTGATTTTATTGACAACTACCCTAACTGACATTTGATTTTACGGACACCTGGCTTAACTGACATCTGATTTAACTGACACTTGACTTTATTGACACCTGTCCTTACTGAAATCGGACTTTACGGACACCTGGCTTAACTGACATATCTTTTTACGAACACCTGACTTTACCAACACTTGATATTATACAGACCACAAACACGTTCTTTTTTCTTTAACCTAGACTTTACTGACTCTCTCTTTTCTGACCAAATGAATATATCACTGTAAATGTCTTACATGGAAGAATACGCTACTGTCAAAATCGTCTAAAAAAGGTTATTATCCGATACATGTACTCAAAAAACAATAAAACTTATTGTATCACACAATTTTATTCGACAAAACAAATAACAAAACATTACATAACTATCAAAATATCACACGATATTCCTGTGTGATATTTACACCGGAAGTTGAGTCAGATAACTCTATTTTAACTGTATCTGTAACATGCGCAGTAGCACCAGCGACATGGAGAGTACAACAATTACATTGTTGGTTCCCATGACATGTGACGTCACTGGAATAACTGTCGTCCCCTTCAACACGCATGTGCAGCTTTGTTGTGTCCGACACGCACCTATAACGAATAATTGCCTCGTACCCTTGGTTAGGGCGAGGATCGGGCGGATTGATGCTAAAGTTTAATATTTTTGGAATAATATTTGTTCCTTCTAACACTACAGTTTCCGTCACATACGCATCACTGCTATTAAATCTGTACACAGGGGACTGAACGGTATGTCCGTCCGGGAAAACAACACTAAATATAACGTGAGTTTCTTCGCTCACATGAAAAATTTCTTGCTCAGAAAATGAGTCAATGCACAAATTTGAGTCAGCAATTTTTGCTGCATTATCACAATATGATTTAAGAGCAAAGTATCCTTGCTCACACGTGTCTATGACGCTTTGTCTTACGTCATCACTGAAATTCTGTAGTTGTCTGTCTGTTCGACCTAGAAGTGAAGCACAACTTTCTGATATATTAGAAGCCAACAATCTCTTGTTTTTATTACACACCTTGATTGAGGCTTTTCGAAGGTGATTGCACGTGCGCAGAGGATGCGCGTTTCCATTGAATAATATGTTGTCTGTATTTTGTTTAGCGGGCAACTTTACATAAAAACTGCCCGGATAATAGTCCGCGATTGCTTTATATTTTAGCACGGGCATCATGTCACTGTCACTCTCTTTCACTAACACGCTTGCATAAACCGTAGAAGATAAATCTCCTTCACCACAACGTTTGACGTCAATGGGTACTTTTGTAAATGTCTTTTTCCACTTCGAATGGTTATCGTCATTGCTTAGAATTTTGAAACTAGCAGACAAAAAATCATTTTCGTTCGTAGCCTCAACAATTTTTTGCGACGATTTTTCAACAATGGTCTCAAATGACTTTTTTCTGATCGACAAAATGGTTATATCTTTTTTCTTTCTCTTCCTCTTTTTCTTTGTATCATTCTTCCTATCGCCGTCACGCGCATCGCACGTGTTTATAATAGTCGATTCGTGTTCGCTGTGTTTGGTTGTTTCAGCCGACGTCACGAGAATGTTACACGAATTTATCCACTGAATACGCTTTGTGTCACTTCCGGTCACAACAATATCTTTGATGAGCTTTCCCTTTTTCAAGCCGATCACGATCTCGTTTCCATTCTTGTCACGTGACCTAATCTCCGTCACAATTCGTGGTACTCCGTCATCCCGACGTCTGCCGATGATTAAATGTTTATAGAGGTCGAGGGAATCGAACCTTGCCAATCTTGGGTCCATTCCTCCGGTATATAATTTAAAATTAGGCTTCAATTCACTTTCTGAAATAAAGAAAAAAAATGATTAAATACATACACGAATAACAACTTTAGGAAGTTTTTAAAGCCTTAAAAGCGTTATAGAATATATGTTTTGAATGTTCTAATAAAAAAATAATGGAATGAATCTTTATGGGTGAATTGTGTGGGCATCATAATAAAAATATGCCATCTGAAGAAAAGAGAATAAGATTAGATTTATGTATTTAAATGATTCTAATTTTGAAGAAAAAAAACGACTCACGAAGAATCAAATTTAGAGAGTATTGCATTATCATTGCGCATGAGTCGGAATGGTAGGTGACTAAATCATAAAGTAAATTGTAAACGACGCACGCACACATCTCAAAACGCCAAATTGACACCAATATGAAACTGGCAGGATTCCTTACCACAATCGGTTTCGTTGTCGTAATTTTCTCGACACGTGCAAACATTGCCTGGACCGCAGAATCCGTTACCATGACAGCAGAATGGACAGCCTGTAACAGAAAACACAATTTATAAATTATAAAGAAATACACACGAGCATTTTCAAACCTGATTCACAGATTTCCATTTCACTCAGGCACAAGTCATAGTGCGTAAGTAAGTAACAAGAGGGTCCCATGCCGACAGCAAGCATTAAACATAATACACAATAATTATACATAATACTTCTTTCAGGATTTGCAATATTTGTTGATAACAGGTTTTTTTCTTTTTTTTTTAAAAAGTCGGAGAATACCGAATTTCGAACAGTTTCCAATTTATTTTTATGGAAAGGGAGTGTAGTTTCATCACTCGTCACATCTCGGCAGATTCCGTACCTACATCAGGCTACCGGAGTCAGCCGATGTTAGCCGAATGATAGTTTCCGGTTATTAACTTACCCTGTGTGGTGTAGTTTGTTAAACACCATATATCTCCTGCCATTTCTCTGTTTTCTTTAGGTGGAATAGTGATGTTCCCTTCCGGAACAACGATGCTGACATTGGAAAATGTGACGTTTCTGATAAAAGAAAGAATAAAAAACATTTTAAATATATATGTAGGTAAATAGTTATAAAATACATATACTTATTGAAAACTCTCTTAATTTGCTTACTCGCCGTTTTATAAATTGTATCTGTCTTTAGATGAGTGGTATAACGAACTGTTCTTAAGGGTTAAATCATTCACCCCTGGAATCGCATAATGAACTATTCCAACCTTTGAATTGGAAGAGTTCAAATGTGTCTTCAGTGGTGAATGAATTAAGGTTATATGCTACATTATTGTAATGTCATCTCTTTCAAAATAGCTATCATAAATGTTGGTTTAGACTGATTTAATTAAGATAAGACGGAGATACGAGAGATGACATGTATATAGGAAACGCCCAAGTAAGTATGAACTATTAGTAATTGAAATTGAAAATAGAGATAGCAGTAACAGAAACACACACACATATATATATATATATATATATATAATGTGTAAGGTACAAGTAACATGTTTCTTTTACCTTGCCACAAAATACACAGTCTTAATGTTCAAGGTAGTCTTAACTCTAATTCACACTAATTCTGTGTTAGGTAACATATCGCCTTAACTCTGCCACAGAGAAATCACGGAAATCATTTGTAAGGGTAGCATATATCCTTAACTCTTAAACAAACCACATTTACTGTATAATGAGTAGCGCATATATATTCTGGGAATGCCTCTGTGTGTTGTCCGAGTCTACTAAAAAAGATTGGTTTACGTTGCAGATAGAAAATATTAAAACAATTTGATTTCTTGATAATGACGCCTTAACAATTTAACTCGACTTAAAGGGGTATTATTTACAGTAAAACTTCGTTCACTCAAACTTTACTTCACAACAACAAGAGTTACCAGGAACATTCAAATGTTCAAAGTTAACGATAAATAGGTGTATATGTAAAATAACTAACCTTGGGTAATATATAGTGACGTCACACCTGATGCCACCTGATCTGTTGTACGGATCCACACAGGAAACCAATGTACAGGACGCCACGATGCCTAGCAACAGACTGACCCGATGGTCAAGCAGACTGACCAACACGGCCAACATTATACACAAAATATTAACCGACACAAAACCGGCTCCGTTAAGAGGCAGGGACACAATCGGGAGAGGTTCCATGGGATCTATCCTAATTTCCAACCTCCCGGAAGCGAATGAAGCTTTGAGCTGTATTTTCGGTTCTGTTTTAGATGAGAAATCATGCTTTTCCTGATAAGCCAACACGTATATCCCAAAATTTTCGTTGGAGGATTCATTCCACTTGACATCTCCCTAGAAAAATAAATAAAAATAAATTACTTGTATATTACATGCATGTATTAAAACATCCCATTTCTCATTCTGTCGGTTAAATAGATATTACTTTTTTTTTTTTTTTTACCTTTGTAAGCGCTGATTGTCTTTGAAGGAAAGACAATTAATTATTATCCTATGAATAACATGTAAGGAAAATAACAAATAAAAGGAAAAAATAATGACCGTCCCCGGGTGGGCTTGAACCACCAACCTTTCGGTTAACAGCCGAACGCGCTAACCAATTGCGCCACGGAGACTTCCATACCGAGCGCAGAAAATTTACAGTATTTGTACCGAGTAAGGCTGCTAAGGTAGTATCGTGTTCATTGATAATGAATGGTCATTTAAACCCAAATTTCTCAGGTGAACAGTCACCAACTCTATTTAGCCAACTTTCCACAATGGGCCGTTCATTTACAAGGTTGTTTAGATATGATACGACTCTTTATTTTATATAATTTTGTACACGTCACAGTACTGGGACATCACATGGGTCTATTTATATATGATATGGTCGCTGGGACATATGTACTCTGCTTGGATTACCGTCTATTCAGACAGATCCTGATGTCTTATCGTAGTCAATTGTATATTTCTATTATTAAAAAAATCTGTTAAATCACCCAGTAACGTTAACGGTTCAGGACTGTCTTGTAACTGACTCCGGACCTGGGAGTGATGTGATAGACTTGCACAAGCCCCTTATTGTCCGAGTTCAAGGACAGGATTTGGTTGAATTTAGTTTTATTCAAACAATTATGCTTATTACTAAGCTTGGACATTTAAAGACCCGTACATATATATGAATCATACAGCTTTGCAGCTATGTAAATAAAAAACTAAAATACTGAATAAAAATAGTGTTCTATTTTTCGCTTACCGGAAACACTGATCCAATATCGACGTCTATCGCCTCTGTGAAATTGGATGTTGGAATGTCCAGAAATTCTTCATAGATAAAGACGTATGGAGGGACATCCTCGACCCCCGGGTCTAATGTGGTGTCTCCCGGGGCTATTTTCTGCGCCCCTCCGAAGCATGTCACACCAGCCAGCATTAAAATCCACAAAATCATCTGTAAACAAAGTGATCAATGTAGAAAGATTTTTGCATGAAAAATCGCGTGTTAAAGTAACGTAACATGAAAGCATTAAGTAACATGTACAATAACCGAAACGTGTATATTTATATATGTGCAATTTTAAAAATGTGAATTACCTGTATAATGAAACAGATGTTTATACAATTTTAAATAATTGATCAATCACTTTCCTCAGCTCATTAACTCTAAGATTACATGTAGGGTCGCAAACAAACTTTGACAGTGAAAAATCAATTAAGAAAATCGTTAAAAGAATAACGACATATTAAGGTTAAATATTATTGATTTTTTTTTTGCATGAGTAATTTACTTGCAGGTGGGGAATCCGACCTTCACTGAAGCATGAACGCAAAATGAGATGATAATAATGAGGTCACGTGACCACCGCTATAGTCGTTATTTCCATAAGGGATTTAAATGGACCAAAACTGCCAAGTTTAGAAATATTATTTTTTTCAATGATTTCAAATTGTTGGTTTTTGTTTTCAGCTCTTCATAAATCACACAAAGAACGGCGGAAATGAGACATAACACTGTATAAGCCACCTGCACTGTTACAAAAAAATGTCAATAGTCGCACGATTCTATGTTTTCTTGTTTTAATTTGGCTGTTACATGGGTCTCTACAGAACACGTGTTGATTTCTTGTAGGACATCTGCGTAGTGTCGTGGGAAGGTTTTTCAGCACATTTCTTTCAAGCTCTCAAAAAAATCAGCACTGCCAGTCAATGAGTTACTGTAGATCAGTTGATTTTCGCGAGTGTTAAATTTCGCGAATTCGTTTTAATTAACGTAGACGTATTCTGTTCTATACGGCGAGTCCAAGTTTAGCAACGACGACTAAAACACTTGCATTGCAAGAGGGATCCAAACGTCCAACAAATAAACTTTCAATAACCGGACATATAAATGCACCGAATGGGTCTGAATGAATAAATTGATTTCACGATATATTCTTCACGCGAATTCAGATATCACCAAAAGTAATTTATACGTTATTTAGACATTCAAATGAAACTTCCAGTGAGGTATCTCTAATGAAAACATCACTAACCCATACAATTCATTATAAAACACCATGTGTGTGTCTAGCTAAATTAAAACAATTCTTAAATGGAATGTTCTATTTCAAATCAAAGGATATATATCAAGCGAGTTTCACGAGACGAAAAAAAATATCCAAAATTCTAAAAGCCAATCAATCAGTATTATGACGTCACAATTCAAAGTCATGTCTCTGTTTTTGTCAAAATCTTTACGATGATGTTCTAAGAAATTAATGTATTTTAAGCGATCAGACTATTCGTACATTTATATGATAAATATTTAAATGTCGTAAATATATGTTTTTTGACAATGCACACATGACAAATATTCAGAAATTTGAATGACGTAAGCATATGCTATAAATCCTTACTTCAAAGCAAACTCCGTGTGTATACCTTGTTACTTCCCTGTTCACGAAAACTGCAGACCTCTCTGATGTCTGTCCTATCTCCCCACATAGGATTAACGTTGTCGGCGATTTGTACCATTAACAAGATTTATGACCTGTTTTATATAGACATATAGACTATATGTGATGAGGTGAAAGGTTAGAGGTGCTAACCCCCTATAGGTACATGTATCTTTACAGATGTAGCCAGCGGGGGTCAAAGGTTAACACGTAACGTGACACGCGCCACCTGTAAACAATACTGACATAATTTGGACAAGGATCTCTTATTTATGTAGTGTTGAATGATACTCGCTAGACAAAAGGTGGTAGTTTTGTCGAGTGGTTGTTATATGCAAGTCAATGTTTACTCGTTGTATTTGAAGGTAAATGTAAACAAGATTGTTTGTTGTCAATAAAAGTCAAGATGTTTAGCACCAATAGCGATGTTTATGTTACAAAAGGGGTATAGATTGTCCGATTCCATTGACCACTGAGAAAATATTTAAAACTCAAGCGCCGGTCAAATGATCTTATGTATATCCCCAAGATAAATCGATTTTCACCTGTTCCGCGGTGACAGTTGTTCATTCAAAACAAGCTGAGATAATATTTGTTCACGAATTATATAAGAATATAAATAAAGTGAAATGTAGATAAAAATCGTTTAGTCACGCGTCTAAACTGATGCTATTCCCAAGCACTGACCGATCCTAATCTTTCATTGACATCATTCAACTGATCATCAAATCGCCCCTCCGCATCACATCTAAAGATCAAATATTCATATGTTCAGCATCAATAACGAACTTTCTACTGACATGTCATTTATCAATACAAGGATCTTCGATGATTCACTACAATATCGATTTTTATGACACATTTCAAAATGAATTTTATCATAGAAACGTATTATTAGAATTAAGAATTATCATCTTAAGTTAAAATTATCAATACAGGAGTATTCGATGATTCAAAAACTACAATATCGACTTTTAAAATACATTTCAAATATAATTTTATCGTTTGATGTTTTAGAACCATCTTTTTTCTTGAGATGTAATGCGAACCATGAGTACTAGATAAAGGATTTATGAAAAGTTACAATACAATAATATAAATGCGGAGATATGATGTCAAAGTTCAAAGTTCAATACTAATCCTCATTGAATATGTATCATTCTTGTACAAGGTAAATAGTAAATACTTACCAGCGAATGACGGATGAATGAATAAATGAATGTTTATTTTCAATGAATGAATGAATAAATGAATGAATGAATGAATGAATGGAAATCTTTCAGCTATTCAGAAGAAAATAATAAAATGGATTTTGTTCCTTCTGAATATTTACTTTAAAAACTTTAAGAACATCTATATTTCAATTACACATATATATAATTGAAATTAATTTTCTATTTATTATGTGATGGATGTCATGTTAATCGTATTTATGATTGATTGGTCGTCAGTCAACAAGCAATAGTTTTCTTTACCGAAGCTGAATAAACATTATCTGTTCATTTTCGGCAAGATTATTAAAATATTTGTGAAGGAAATATCAATTTCACTTTAATGTGAAAAGTCAGCTATGTGCGGTAACACAAAGCTATCAAAATTGACAGCTGTTGTTTTTGTACATTTATTTTCAATTTAAATAAAAAGAAAATCAGAAATTGTTATCAAGCTGATAATCAATATTTTAAAAACGTAAATACGAATGTAAAATCATAAACTTACCGTTTTAGTCTGCACGTAAAATATAGTTCCAGCATCCGTTCAACTCATACCAGCTATTTCCATGACTAACGACACAGACTGCATCACCACATATATCTGATTCCACGAACAATGGACGGCTGTATTTTAAACTTTAAACAAATCTATTTGAAAACAAGCGGAATCTCTTGACAAAACAAAAACCTCCAATGTAACGAATATGAGGACAGATATCCCGAGTGATCATAGGCAGACTGGCTCGCGCATTCCGGGCCGCCCCTTGTCCCTTTAATCAAATAAGCCCGAAGGACCCAGAAATAACACAAAAACTGCCTGTTAGAATTAAAGGAATTTCCAGAGATTTATGGCAGATGACTTCAGAGTCGATGACAATAGCACCGTCGGTGTTAATTGCATCACGTGCGAATTTATGTCCCTATTTGGGACTTTCATGTTAGAACCGGTGTAGCTCCGGGGTCAAACTAGCGCCCTTTGTCAGTAGGTTTTATGGTTAAGGTGTAAACGCCAGCTTTTAACACGACAGAAAATACATGGTGAAATTAGAAATAAGAGAATCGCTTTTATCATTCATATCCCGTGTCAAAAGGTATTTTGCTTGAGCGCGTTGACACCCAACTGTTTTTATGTACTTTAGGGATGATCCATGAAACCCGAATTTGACATCTTTACAAACAAAAATACTGGGTTTAGATTATTGAAAATAAAAAGAGGGATTGACTCGAGCCAGTCCGAATAATACAGATGGACATATCATTGATAAGGGTTTTATGACCTAGCGGTTTTTGTTTCGAGTTTATGGACTGTATCGACAGTCTGCTTCGTCGTGTTATTAAGCCATAATGGCGGACCAAATTACGTCAGGACTGGTGGTACTTCCTTTCTAAATCAGTTATATTAGCGTCCTAGCTATGTCTGATTTAAACGTTTTCCTTCGAAAATTCTGTTTGAGATTAAGAGGTTACAGAGAAACACTTTTAATACTTTTCCTGTCAAAGACAAAACTCACTTTAATCTCAAGCGCACTCTTTTTTATTTGATATTTTTAATTATCCCTTATGCCATTAAAAAGCTATTAAGATGCAAAGATATTACGAATTCTACAGATTTAATGCCGATTTCCATGTTGATAGGGCTTCAAAATCGATGACACTTAAACCAATTTGTTATTTTAAATTTAAATTTTCAAAACTTCAACTAACATAAATCTATAACTGTGTTCATTAGAACTTAACGACGAAAACGTCATGAGAATTGTGCACATAATACCGTGACGTGTGTTACCAAGGCAACTATGCCTAGAAGTCTGAGATGGTATCAATCACAAGGTTCATTGCAAATATTTAATAAATATACTTCAATAATATTATTGGATGATGTTTCATGCATTTCGTAGATTATTAATGCCAAGTCTGGGTCAATATGACGTGTTGAATTATTGAAATTACGAATTTCTCATTTTTTCCCAACGCAGATTCAAATATCCTGAAATTAAAACTTTTGATATATTTAATTAAGAACAGAATTGGGATATTGATATTTGATTTGACATGCACTTACTTTCAAAAAATTCCCAAAGGCAACGGAAATGATTAAATTAGTTCATTTAGCACTTTCAGGTGTAAAAACACGAAATCAAGACACGTGCACCTCGTGCTGTGAGAAAACTCGCCGAGGGCAGGTGTACAACATGATAATTTATTTAATTAAACCAATTAGAGCCTTGAAACATATCAAAACTATACTAAACAAGCATGCAGGTGTTAAATTAACATATCTTTTGTTTTTGTGTGGTCTGTATACTTTACTCACCGGCCGTATTTAGCAGTAGTATGGACGTGATTCACGGACAGGGATTTTAAACGTTTTCTAACACTTACACCACTGGAAATATTATCAACCTTTTCAGCACACCTCATACCCCCTCCCTTATAATCATTGTATTTGACTTGGGAAGGATAATTCCAACTGGATAACAGTAGATTTGTGTATTGTGTTTAGTAGTAGCAGACTTGCTCGAGTCCGAGATTACAACAGTGCAGACTTACTGAGGTCCGAGAATTTAGTACAGGATCTTAATCGAAATAATTAGTTCAGTGGAATTAATTGGGTCAGAGAATAGACTAGTAGACTTACTGATATCCGAGTTTAAGAGGTATATTCTTACTCGAGTTTAGCAAAACTTAACCATAAATGACTGAATAGTGTTTTTTTCCGATAAAGGATGGGGTTTCATTGCGGTCAAATACGGTATCATACTCCTCCAACCTCGTAACCGCCGACAGCTTGACAGACTCGATGGAGCTTGGAATCCTGGATTTTAAGGGAGAGCAGTCGTTTAATTCATGCTACTATTGTATGGTTCATGGATGTGATTGGGCCGGGGATTGGAGGGCGAGAGGTTGGGGGCATTGGTACCAGGGAGTGTCTTTGAATCAGGATCCCCGTATCTTTTTTCCGTTAGTGTTCTACGTGTTTCAAGTTTTCCTTGCATGGTCATCTCAGCTTAAAAACGTTTCTTGCCAATAACGTCAAATTTGAAAATAAATCGTAGTGTAATTCTTATTCATAAGGTAATGATAATGTAATTGAACTGTTTTTGTGGATGACAATCCTCGTTCAAAATCGCAGGTATAATGTGTAAGGTAGCATATGACATTAATACTAACAAAAATCACAGGTATATTGTGTAAGGTAGCATATCGCCTTAACTCTAATACAAATCACAGGTATAATGTGTAAGATAGCATATAACCTTAACTCTAACACAAATAACAGACTTAATGTGTAAGTATAATGTGTAAGGTACCATACAACCATAACTCTAACACAAATCACAGGTATAATGTGTAAGGTAGCATATAACCTTAACTCTAACACAAATCACAGGTACAATATGTAAGATAGCATATAACCTTAACTCTAACACAAATCACAGGTATAATATGTAAGATAGCATATAACCTTAACTCTAACACAAATGACAGGGATAATGTGTAAGGTAGCATATAACCTTAACTCTAACACAAATGACAGGTATAATGTGTAAGGTAGCATATAACCTTAACTCTAACACAAATAACAGACTTAATGTGTATGTAATATGTAAGGTAGCACGTAACACAAATCCAAGGTATGATATGAGCGGTAGCATATATCCCACCTCTGATAAGCCCAACAAATCTCAAAAGCTAGAATTGTAAGCTAGAATATAACCTTGAAAAAGGTTGTAGTTGATGATGAATCGGTTATTAGCTCTATCTGGGACCCCCACCCACGAATCTCTAGGGCTAGTAAAAATGGATCCATGGAGCGCACACACGAGTATTCTACAGGAATTGCCGGTTTGTGAATCTAAAAACAGGCGACCATCGAACGGCGGCAGTGTTCGTTAGGACACCCCGCGGTGAGATTGATGCATTCCATTGTAATCTGAAAATGGAGGGAAGTTTTTATAGTGTGATCACAAACACTCAAACAGTATTTTATGAATCTGGATTGAAAACGAGAAAAATAGCATTTAAGTGATGATGCTAATTATGTCCATGACAGTAAGAAAATTTAATGTTCTGTGATCCTCGACTGACCACGTCTCCGGACAAATTGACCTAATCTAGCAGAAAAGGACCATGTCAAATTTAAAGAGTTATTCTAACGCCTTTCGTCCGACTAATCCCTCATTTCAATCTCGTTTCTATGGTAACCATCAAACAATACGCCCACATTTTTCAGAATAAAGAAAAACGGGAAGTCGTGAAACTTTGAGTGACCTTACTCTGAATAGTGTATTTTTTATATCTAAAAATGAAGATTTGACATTTGAGATAGATCTATTATTTATCAATTTGATTTTCGATTAAATTCTCTGATATCTACATGTACTTTGTCAACGTTGTATTTTGATTTTTCGTTCCCATGGACAGGATTTTACGGTTATTAACTTACTAATGTGTATGATAGGAGTCTCATATTCTAATGAAAGAAACAGTGTATTTTCAGTGCTATCAGAGTTGAAATTCAATGATAAAAATGCGAAATTGATAAAATCTTGAGATCTGAAAAGTAACCCATAATTTATGGAGTTTTTTTTTTTTTTTTTTTTAAATATGATAATAAAGAGGAAATAAAAAAATCAACAACAGTGTTCAGACGGCCAGCGACAACCGCCTTTCACCAAGGCGGCCGAATTTCGATTCCCCGATCAGAAGTGAAAATGTATAGGGTTCGATCACCTACTAAAGTACCATATGGGTTTTCTCCGGGTACTCCGGTTTCCTTTCACCATGGGATTAGGCACCCTGTGTGCTACCATCCGGGCCAACAACAAGAATGATAACTATAAACGGAAATAATTTGTTTCATTGGTGTTGTTAACTAAATAAAGTTTGTATTTAAGGGACGAGACAACGAAATTGCACAAATCAGCCACCGTACAGCCGAGATGCGAACATTTGACCTCCGATCCAATACGGTCGCTCTAACAATTGTTCCTTCGACAGAAGAATATAATAGTTTTAGTACATTACATAACTAGATAACTGTCATTGTTTAAATTCGACACTCAAAACCACGAATAAATCTTTCGCCTTTTACGGAAGATTTCCGTGGAGAGGGACAATCCTGAGTATTTGCTCATTTTTCAAGGCTATAAAGACATGTAAAAAGGCCGTCAATATATAGTTTCCTAAATGTAAAACAATGGTTACAGTATAGAAACAAACTAGATAAACCCGATATAGCATTGTAAGAATGTAGTTCTCTCAAGAAACCTGACACGACACTATCGGGCAATAGTTTCCTCAACAGAAGAAAATACTGGTTTTAGTATAGCACATAACTAGATAACTGTCATTGCTCATCACAATGAGGTCCACAGCATAAGGAAATCAAGGTTTTATTACAACTTACAAGTATTTACACTGCCAAAGACTACAGTCAGCGCTAGCAATGAGCATGCGTCAAATATTCGGACCAAAGTTAAACCGTTTGGATCGCGATAAACGAAAGCTGCCATGCTGTCTATTTTTCTCAAATCTAATTTTGAACGTGTAACGAAATTTCCCACATGCTATTTTATTTTTATACGTACTGTTTTAAACCTCTTGTCGTGTAGTATGGACGAACTAGCCCCCGTGCCGATCGAGTGATTTTCAGTTGGGGAAGAACTTTTATAGTTCCTGTCACGTGTAATTTAGAATTTGGGTTTACATATTAATTAAATTGAGAACGAGCTGTCCTATCTCACTGGGTGATTTCAAGTGTTGAACAAATTTTCCTTAAGCTCTTGTCACGTGCTAGCAACATTTTTAGCGGGAACAATTCCTCGGCCATTCATCCTGGGCAATACTCTAAAAAATCACCGTAAGTATGGTCATTACAAAAAAGTCGCATACATTTTAAGTTCATGCAATCAACTTAAATTCTTTCTTCATTGTGCTTTCCATGTATCTGTTTACAATGCTGAAGGAGATGAATACAGATATGGACAAACTTTACTCAACACCATTCCTTATCTAACACATCTTAATTATAATTAATTACAAACCAGCAGCATTTCAGGGGCACCTGCAGCCCCTACTTAACGATCGAGAGCTCTTAATCTGATCGGCCTGGTGTCTGGTAGAGTGACATACGACTGGAGGACGATACTTTGAAGATTACAATTGTAGATCTCGGCATGGTTTGATTGAGATATCAAGTTTCTTTTAACAGAAATTTAACTTTGAGTCAGCCCTGCACAGGTGGTACGGTAGTATTACATTGAACGGACAGCAAAGGTCAGAGTTCAGAGGTCAGAGGAGACGTAGTTTTACGGTCAAATAATTGTCGCCATTTCAACAAAATGGAGATTTAAATGCGTCGCGTACTAAGCGTAGACAATACTTCAGATTTTATGTTATCCATTAGGCTCGCTCACCTCTAGGACGAATGGAAATATACGGTGTCAGAAATAAAATAGTATTAATAATATTCTAAACTCGTAATGGAGAAAATAATACGGCATTTTGTCATATGAAATATGTAAACGGTATTATTAAGTTAAATATCATTTCCGTTATCACCATTTCGAGTAATTTGTTTTAAGTCATTTTATATAGAAGTCAACAACTGCAGCTATCAAGGAGATGAACACGTTGACAAGGGAAGCAACTCTAGGCCAGAACTGAGACGCTCTTATCTTCTTCTACTCAAAGTCCAGAGACATTTCTTAAGTGGTACTCTTCTGTGTGATTTTAACTTGTGCAGTGATACACCTTAATTGCAATACTTTATAAATACATGCCTTGTACTATTTTACTCGAGAGGAAGTAAAATGTAGGGAGGAATTCACAAACATGGATAAAACTGGGCAAACTGTGTAATAGAATAACTTCACAAGAAAAGAGAACAGTGAACGGGCGGAAAACAAGGAAAAACTCACGAACAGTCTCTCCGATAAGTTGTAATAACTTGTGCCTAATCCCTTTTCAATTTTAATTGACACTAATTAACATATGTTTAAATTAACAGTCACACAGTTACAATTAAAGAATATTAAATATTGAAAATATAACCAACTGTTGCTCTTTATAATCTTTTGCTTATTTCGAAACATTTCGTTATTTGATGATCATATGTATGTTATGGACAGAATTTGAGTAATGATAATAAGTCATTGTCTAAAGCATGCTTTCAATCAAGTCATGTATACTTCAGAGAAACGATTACGTCAGGCTCTGCAGTCGATAAGCTGATAGTAATTACCAAGGTAAGAAACCATAGTTACTCTCACAATGAGACCCATACACATATATAGACAGGGCCATCGACAACAATGACTACATTATTTGGGTCGCTCCGTCATGTTTAGAGATATCGGGGACCAATTATATCGTTACGTTCAATCACGGAAGTATCTAAGTCCTTGGTTTAATGTATCAACGTATTATACATTTGTCTCTGTTGTTAGTTAACAAGTGTTTTTTTTTTCTCCGGGAACTCCGGTTTTCCAACACCACAAAAACCTGTCAGTCCTTAAATCAAACACAAACAAAAACCAAACCAAACCAAAATGTTAGTTAGAAAAGGTTTTTCTCCGGGAACTCCGGCTTTCCTCCACCACCAAAAATCCTGGCACGTCCTTTAAATGACCATAGCTGTTATTCCGTCTTTGCGTATTGCAGAGTTATCTTCTCTTGGGAGCAGGTATTGATTGTTACGTCACTTATTTGTGAGAGTAACGTCATCAATTTTTGAGAAAACGACGCAATTTTCTCGCACAAACCAATGACGTAACAATCAATACCTGCTCCCAAGAGACGATAACTCTGCAATACGCAGAGACGGAATAGGACGTAAAATACAAACCAAATCAAGCCAAAATGTTAGTTACAAGGGATTTTTTTTCTATAACAAGCGCAGCTGCTTGTACGCTGGTATACAGGTGATACAGAGACGTATGTACTACATGGCTTTATATGGCTCTCGGTGATTCCACCAAATTAAAAAAAAAACGAATACAAAAAAATGCTTGTGGTATAGGGTAGACCGGGCCGGGGCAAGTTCTGCCCCGGGGTAAGTCCGGCCATCTCTGATGTTTTTCGTCTTGAGGAAATATTTTTACGACTTTCAGGATCGTATAGCAGTTCAGTTGACTTGAAGAAACATTCACACGAAACGTTGTCGAGAAAAGCTCAGTTATTAAAAATATTAAAAGGAGGAATGTTACGTTTGGGAGGATAGAAAGAAAATCATGACCTCACCACTTTCTAGTTTTGCGAACTTTCTGTAAACCGAATTACTACTCATTTATGTTATACGTACGCGTGTAACACACACCGAAAGCTTTGCATGATGGCATGTTATGTATCACGCGGAAATAATGTATGCTGATATAAAATACAATCAAAACAAGATTTTATTGTAGAATGTCTCAGCTTTGTGCGACAATGATCCTGAGACAAATAAATCTTAAACTTGATGTATTCATTTTTAAAGGGGTTCAGGGGTCCCGGGGGTTGCTTCTGGACCCACTACGAGGGCCCTTCCAGGAAGGACGCTCTCATAAATGAATCCAATTCAAGTAAGGTCTATTTACACCCCTAGCTGTCCGTATTTTCGTCTCATCAAAAAGAAAAGTTTTTGTCCGTTGCTGATAAGTATCCCGTCTGGGGCCTCTCAACACCTTTTTTTATTTTCATATGGTAAGTTGTGAATACATGCATTTCCGTGTAAAGACTGTATAGGGTCTGTGTTAATTATTTCACGTTACATGTACTATTTTTGTGTGTTTTGAACGTAAATATATCTAACGATGGAATTGGATCTTTGTAGCGCAATCCAACCACGATAATAACAAAGTAGTGTATTACTTCAAGCATGCACCCTAAAATTAACAACTCACCAGGAAAAACCAGAAACTATATTGCAACCTAGTACATTTTTCGACGCCAGCTTACATCTTATACACGTATAAGCTCGACGCAGTTGTCTCCCTTCTCCCGTACTGAGACAGTCGCATGTAGTTTATTTAGATACCCACAACTGTGTGTCTTCGTAATCCATTTAGCATACCTGAGGAAATTGGATCAACTGATAACGCTTTACTCGATGACAATCCAAACCTATTAGATTAGCAAAATTCGTATAATATCGATAATGTATAATCCGTCTCGACAAAAAATTCCCAACAGAGTCAATTATACGTCCCTGATCATCAAAACATCTGGATTTACCTATTACTTATCAAAATTACGGAGCAATTCTATTACTGAAGTTATTAGTCTGTTCCAGAATAGAATACTAAAAGTCCTTTTGTATTTCCCTCCGAAACGTTTCACTTTTGTTTCACAAGTTCCGCGCTTGTATTATGTTACCTAGAATACGATGTAGGAAGGACAACTCTGGGTAGAGCTTTTCCATGAAGTTTATTAGGAATAAGTTATAAATATAACTTGCGGAAAATCCCACATATACGAAACAAGGAAGGTATAGTTTTGATCTGATTTGATTAGACCTTTTTTTGTATAAACACATGAAAATATATTGTTATACTCATACTGACACCGAAATATTGTACTTCATATAATTAGCTATTTGAGTCCTACGTTCACATTGACATTGTCCTGAGTGCCTATACCTGTATACAGCTAACTATTCTTTAATTGTTATATGATATGACAGTCATAATGACTCAAATAAGTTCATATTCACTAATTTTTTTTATTGTTTCAATAGGCATTAAAGCTAATTGTCTATACCAATTAATGAATACTAATTAAATGTGCATTAGGCACCGTCACTGTATATTGATGTACATTGTAGGCCTACAGTAAACAGTTTGGCCACCGCGGAATAGAGATCAAAGTTTAAGCAAACTGATAGCATAATGCTTTATAATGTGGTAGGTTTTATTGCACAACCAGTAAGCTTTGCACTAGAGGGAAGTTCCCTTTATAGCTCAATAGGTAGAGCCACAGGCTTGGAAGCCGTGGGTCGCCGGTTCAATCCCTGGTGGAAACACACTGCTGTCTTTCATGTTACAAATGGTGTCCCTGGCCCTCCCTGTAACGACAGGGAGTTAGAGCCTGGGGTGTTGTGTTCTTGGAGGGTGAACACATTTAGAAATTTAAGGGGGAGGGGGAGTAGTGTGGCAAGTTTTGATTGCATGTGCATATGATTGTGACTTCCTTCTAGCTTCACACTAAAGGGATTTTCCCTTTAGCAGTGGACTGGGAAGCTGGGGGTCTCTGGTTTGATCCCAAAAGGAAGCACACCAATCTCTTTCCTGTTACATTACATTTAAAAAGTATACTGATGTCACAGGTCATGACTTAAAGCACAACCAGACTGAGATTCGAACCTGTGACCTACAATCCTCCCTTTCTTGTTTGAAGTCTTCCCCTCCAAGTACAACACTATTTGCAACCCAGGTTTAGGTATCCCCTTACCAAGCAAACACCCAGTACCTGAAACATTAGGATTGATCACAAGCATCACTGTAGCAGGAGAGGGAAAATGTACTTTAACCAATTTAGCTACTTGGTGGTCAGCAACTTGTCCAGTTTCGATACACCGTTATAGCTAAAAGCAGTTATTGTTTAAAGAAGAGTATCCAATTAATGACGGAACAAACCACTGTCAACAATATTTAAGAGGAAGTAATGCAAGGTGAAATGCATACATTTGATAAGGAAATGGACTGGGTTGATCGCTGGCGACCATGAAGCTCAATTGGTAGAGCGTCTGGTAGGGTTCGGAGGGTTAAGGGTCCGAATCTCGATCATACCATGCATTTTTCCACAAAATTGGTGCTGACGACCTTCCCCATTCAAGAAAGTGGAGACTAAGTAAAGGATGTGCATTGTACATAATTTTAAAGTTGCCTTACTAGCCATTGAACATAATTTTAAAGTTTTGCCTTACTAGCAATTGTACATAATTTTAAAGTTTTGCCTTACTAGCCATTGAACATAATTTTAAAGATTTCCCTTAATAGCCATTGTTCATAATTTTAAAGTTTTGCCTTACTAGCCATTGAACATAATTTTAAAGTTTTGCCTTACTAGCCATTGTTCATAATTTTAAAGTTTTGCCTTAATAGCCATTGTTCATAATTTTAAAGTTTTGCCTTACTAGCCATTGTTCATAATTTTAAAGTTTTGCCTTACTAGCCATTGTTCATAATTTTAAAGTTGCCTTACTAGCCATTGTTCATAATTTTAAAGTTTTGCCTTACTAGCCATTGTACATAATTTTAAAGTTTTGCCTTACTAGCCATTGTACATAATTTTAAAGTTTTGCCTTACTAGCCATTGTACATGATTTTAAAGTTGCCTTACTAGCCATTGTTCATAATTTTAAAGTTTTGCCTTACTAGCCATTGAACATAATTTTAAAGTTTTGCCTTACTAGCAATTGTACATAATTTTAAAGTTTTGCCTTACTAGCCATTGAACATAATTTTAAAGTTTTGCCTTACTAGCCATTGAACATGATTTTAAAGTTTTGCCTTACTAGCCATTGTACATAATTTTAAAGTTTTGCCTTACTAGCCCCGGCTAGAGGGAATTTCCCTTTAGCTCAGCAGTTAAACCGTCCGAGTAGAATTGTCTGGGTTCACAGGTTTGAGCCCAAGTGAACGCACATATTCTTTTCACTACTTCCTGCGTATTACATATTATATTGAAGTATCAATATCACATTTGGTGTTGAGGAAAAAATAATATGTATTAAAGAAAAGGGTTCTGTACCATCCCATACAGAAACAAAATAATTGCATCTGAGTATTTCATGAGCTGCCTATGAAATCAAGAGAAACAAGTATAACAGGAGAAAGAAAATTGCACATTCAGACAGGGATTCGAACCCAGGCCCCTCCGAACTCTAGACGGATGCTCTATCAGTTGAGCTTCCTGAATACCTGTGATCAACACAGTCCAGTTCCGCTCAAATGTATGCATTTCTTCCTTATCAAATTATGTTTTTCAGTAATTTGATCTACATTAACCCTTTCACCACTGTGGACCATAATGGACTCATCCAGATAGATGTATGGTAGAGTCTACTAAAGATATTTAGGGGTGAAAGGGTAATAATTGTATACTCTTCTGTTATACAAGTAAGAAATGTATCCAAATTATGTTTTGCACACTGGTGGTCTAAGCAACAAGTAATTTCTTATGGTGGTTAACTCATTCATCCCTACATTTTTAAATGGACTTGCCCAGTCTTTGATTTGGTAAGGTTCCAAAGTTACCTTTAGGTGTGAACGTGGTAACTCCCATGAGTAAATGGATTCTAACACAAATTTAGTGAAACTTGACTGGGGCGATCACCGGTGACCAGGTAGCTCAGTCAGTGAGTTTGTTAAATAAATATAAACTGTATTTATTTCACGACAATTATGAAACAACAAGTTATGTTCACTTATATTAATCACTCTTGCTGGCCAGAATGTTAGCACACTTGGGTCTTAATGTGGGAGGAAACCGTAGTACCTGGAGAAAACCTGCATAGTCAGGAAGGTGACCCCCGTAACTTTTAACATCCATTTGAGAGGTGAGTGTGCTATCTGGTGCGCCACCCGACCACCAGTAAGTTAGAGCATCCATGTAGAGCTCAAAGGTCCCAGGTTCAAATCTTGATCTGACTTATACATTTTTCCTGTCCAGTCGCATAATTTTAATAGGACGAGAAATAGTGATAAAGATAGTGCCGTCGCTGGGGTTCGAACCCGCAACCCTTGGCTCTCCAGCCCGATGCTCTATCGCTGAGCTAAAGGGAAATTCCCTACAGCTGACGCTTGTAAGGCAACCTAATTAATCCACATCTTTTACATAATTATCAATGTTCATTTCATAACTATAAGAAATCAGAAAAAAAATAAGAGTAATTTTTTCTGCACTTCTGTTTGTGTTGTGTTACAACCTTACATTAACAAAAGAGTGATGGTGTCTTCTCATAAAAATTACTTACAGTGACACCTCACATTAGGAGACAAGAGCCATGTTGCTGAAGTTGCTTTTGATCCTGTGCCTGGCTGACTATGGAGAAACAACGTGTCCCGAAAGTAACGAGACAGGTAAGCTGTAAAGTGTTACAGTAACACGCGTAACAATGACGACAACGCAGGTAACTCTGATAATATCACAAGTTACAGCGATGACAATATCACAGGTAACCATGACAATATCACAGGTAACCATGACAATATCAAAGGTAACAATATAAGTTACACGGATTTTTGGCAGGGTATACGGGATGGTATGACCCTAAAGGGTTTCATATTTCCTGAGGCCGAAAGGCCGAAGGAAATACGAAATACTGTAACAGGACAAAAATGAAACGTTTTGCCATTTTGTAAACAGCGAAGCAGACGACGAATGCGAGTTGTCTCCCGATGCCCGGTCGCAAGATACAAAGACACGTGACCTGTATACCCCTTGTAAAATCATGTGATTCCACAGTATTACTGCTGAGAATCATGTGACATGACCGTATACCCCCTGAGATTTTCGTATACCCCCTGAGATTTACGAATGCGGTTTGGTACACTGTAGTTTTTAACCAATCAGATTCCTAGATTTTTCTAGGCAATAATATATATATGTGACAGGTAACCCTGACAATATTTAAGGTAACCATGACACTATTACAGGTAACCCTGATAATATCAAAGATAACTATGATAATATCAAAGATAACTAAGATAATATCACAGGTAACCCTGATAATATCACAAGTTACGATGACAATATGAAAGGTAACCATGACAATACTATAGGTAACCATGACAATATTATAAGTAACCCTGATGATATCGAAGGTAAGCCTGACAATAACAATGATTACACTGACAATATAACAGGAAACCATGACAATATCACAGGTAACCCTGACAATATCACAGGTTACCCTGACAATATCACAGGTTACCCTGACAATATCACAGGTAACCCTGGCAACAGTAGAGGTCACACTAACAATATAACAGGTAACAATATTACAAGTAACCCTGATAAAATAACAGGTAACCTTGATAAAATAATAGGTAACCGTTACAATATCAAAGGTAACCCTGTCAATATCACAGGTAATTTACCCCGACAACATAAAAGGTAATCATGAAAATATCACAAGTAACCCTTACAATGTCGCTGATAACCCTGATAATGTTAAAGACTACCCTAGTCCCTTACCAAATCTCACGTACATAATTTACATGCAGGACTGTTTTTTATTTGTTTGTATTCGTTTGTATTTTTTCATACTTCTGTCAATCACAGGACCTTTGAGGTACACTGATGGAATGAATAGTGCTGACTTTATGATCGCTGGTCATCAAAAGTCCCTACGTTGTTGTATTACCGGCTTTACTAGACTGATCTGGTCCTTTCGTGCCACGGAAAATGATACATGGCAACACATTAACGGAACAGATTACCAACTTGACGAGAATAATAGGAACCAGACTTTAATGATTCTCCCAAAACAGGATAGCGACCCTCGACCAGGAAGTTACCGCTGTACCGCCACAAATGCCGAAAACCATACTCTCATACACAGAATAGAATTATATCTGGGAGGTAAGTCCAAAAGTCTAGTATAGAAGTGTTTTTAGCTTTCCTGGCCCATGGGGCAGCATTGATCTGTCTTTCATTTTTCAACTGACATCAAGTTTCTTTTAAAAATACTACTATAAAATATCTGAAGGGATTTTGACTATATTTTTTTAACACATCCGTAGATGGGAAAATATAACTGAATCTTTAGCTCATTCACCCCTCCATTTTTAAACTGGACTTGCCCAGTCTTTGATTTGGAAAGGTTCTAATGTGACATAAGGGGTGAATGGGTTTAAAGCCTTCTGAATGAGTACTGGTAAATTATTGTTACCTGAATTAGTCATCGATCCCTGGGCCAAATTGACTCAACGTTGTATAAACAGATGATGGGGCTCCACCCCATCCTTGGGACAGAGGTGTGGGCAAAAAAGGGATACCTCAAAATTCCTCAAATTAGGATGTCAACACATGAGAGCATTAAATCAAGATTTGAATTCTTGTCCTAGGTAATAAAATCTCATTGAAGGTCATTGTGACCATTTTTAGCCAATGATATTTGAAGGAATACAGCGAATTATTGAAGGTATTAAGGAACCGTCTCTGATGTGGCAACTTTTAGCTGCCCTTTAACTCATTCACCCCTGAAGTTTCATAATGAACTATTCCAACCTTTGAATTGGAAGGGTTCAAATATGTCTTCAGGGGTGAATGAGTTAAATTATTTGTTCACAGTTTTCAGATGACAAATGACATCCCTTTTTTCTCCCCTGTGACTTTTTTTTTTTTTAAATCAAACTTTGATTTTTATAAAATATTTTATAGCGCAACATTTTGTTGGGAAAAAATCCCTACCTATCTACCTGCCTTCAAATGTTATTAGGGAAACTCCAAATAGATATTTTTTAAGCATGGCATTATAATCATTGAAAAAGTCATTGAAAAAAATGGGATAGAGGAATGGCGATTTGCTAAATCTTTATAATGATATGCATCTCATAGTATTGAGATTTGAACTTCCATTCAGTTTTGGATATATGTATTTATCACATAATGTACCGTGTTATCCAGTGAATATACCCATGTCATATTTGTTTGCGTATTAACCCATGTAATATGACCTATCAGCCCTGTGATTGGTTGTAAGCTTCAATTGTTTCAATTGTGATGTCACGCCTAGGACAAGTACATGACGTCACAGACTTACGCACTGGAGTCAAAATGGCGGCTTTTTACATTTCAAGGTTGCATGAAAATCGTCGTTTTACACAGATAAATGCCATAAATGTTAGTTATGTGATAAAAAGGATCTTTCACTGATTTTCATTTCATATGAAATTTATGAAACTCGTCACAAATTTGTCATTTTAGCTCTCCAGAGGCTCGCTAAATTGAAATACTCTAAGACTTGTTTCATATATCTCAAATGAAATGGATACTCATGTAAGATCCTATATATCTCAAGTGAATGTGACTGGCTTTTGAAAATTGATTTTAAACTTTTTTTTACTAATTTGAACAGTCACGATCAGATTATTCTTAAAGAAGAAGTGCCCAGGGCTAATATAAAGTTATTTATTTTACAACAATTTATGAAAAAAGTTTTACAACTTATATCAATCACTTTTGTTATGTTAGTGCACGGGGTCTTAATGTGGGAGGAAACCGGAGTACCCGGAGAAAACCCAAGTGGTCGGGCAGATGAAAGGCAAGTGCGCTATCCACTGCCCCACCCGACCACCCAGGGCCCAGGGCTGCCAACCTTTTAGGAGCCCATTGACTTGGATATCTCTCTCTACCTGGTTTCCCAATGTTCAAGACTTTTTGACAGCATCATGGCGTAATGTTGTTTCAATAGCTGGGATCGGATTTACAAATGTATCAAACAAATCCTGGCTTTCTCTGAATACTACAACATATAGTTTTTTTTCTCAATTTAATTCAATGTACTTAATTTTGTAGAATAAAATCAAATGGCTAAGGGCCCTGACAAACATCAGGTTGGAAGAATGGATGATATGTGCCTCCAAAAAAATTGGATATATCTGCACAGCTTATAGAATCTTTTGTCCATACAGAGAATTCTTCATTCCCTCACTCATTAACTTATTTTCCTCTGTTAATATTTACAATCAGTTATTAAGAATAAGAAAAGCAAATAAAAATGTTTTGAATTAATAATGATGCATCCTCGAAAATCCACGGGTTATGCTCACTTTGGCTCTCTGCACCCAAGGAATATGTCATAGCAAATTTGAAGATTACCTGGCTAGCTATTTGATTGGTCTCAGGTATAAAGATCTGACCAATCACTAGGCTGATGCCTGTCCTTTGAAAATTACAGAGGAGTGACAACCAGCTTCAGAGGCAGTCTATTTTGCCATTACACAACTGACAGATTCTTTTTGTGTATATCAAAGGATCAAACCAGTGTTCTCATCTCATCCACAAGGTGGTGCACTGAGCCTTTGTTTTTACTTTGACATATTCCAGGGGTGCAGAGAGCTAAAGTGAGTGTAACCCCTGATTTTGGAGGATGATACAGTTGTGGGACTGCCCAACGTTACACGATGTGTGGTGTGCACACCTTGTGCGTACAATAACAAATTAGACGATCATTGCTTGCGCACATTTGTTCGCACGATGGACGAACGTTGTGCGATAACAATCATGCTTGGTGTAAGTTGAGGAATGGCTTAACAATATATACGGTTTCTTGTTTAAACATAAAAACTTGAGTTTTAAGTATTCTTTATCTTTCTGTCTTTACTGTCTTAAATTTAGAAATGGCGTTTTCGGTGTTTTTAAACGACCTTAATCGACACATGTAAAATTACAAGACAGTCCCGTATACAGGTTAACATAGCCACTTTGTACAGGTACCTGGACCGTAGTTTTCCTCACCAGGAGCACTTACGTAACTCGTCGGGGTGTGAAATTCCAGGTGAAGGGAAGCTAAGGCCAAACCAAATGCAAATAACAAATACTAAACATATGGTATCACATATCAGATCTATGTGTCAGGCACAGGCCAGGTAAAACTCTGGTCACCCATCAAATTTGTATTTACCTGTTCTGTTACCTTGGAGCCAAACTCATTCCAGACTCTCAAACAGTCACTGTAATACTGTGTAACAGGCATTGTAAAATTGTACATAATCTAAAATAGTTGTGATGAGAAATTAAAGTAATATACAGTGTACATTATTGCATACAAGTGTAGCAGAACTGGACTGGGTCGATCGTCGGTGACCAGGTAGCTCAATCGGTAGAGCATCTGTCTATAGTTCGGAGGGTACCGGGTTCGAACCCTGGTCTGGCCGTGTATTTTTTCTCACCTGTACACAAACCTTTCGTATTTTTTTCATTCTGTAATATTGATCAACAAATTGTACCAAATCGCACAGTTGTGCGGAGAGAAGAACACAATGGGGTGAATGATTGTTAAATCGCACAGTTGTGCGCACCATGTGTGGACGACATGCGGACGATGTGTGCACAATATATGCACTATGTGCCCATGCTATTTTTGGTGCGTTGTGTGGTCACACAACTGTACTTTTGGTGCATGCAATGAACACTGTGTCTTAAGTGGCCTGTAATTGTTGTGTGATTCTAGGCCCCACAGGTCGAGAACATCCCCAGGCATTTGGCCCCTCATCAACCCCTTGTGCTAAGCTGGGCGGGACCATCTCTTTAAATTGTTCAGGGGACTTCGGACAACTAGATTCTATGCTGAGGAATGTTGAGTGGTACTACGATGATGGCGGGAACCTCACACTGTTGTCTGATCTGAATGACAGCCGTATAACTAGCAGTATCAATAATCAGTAAGTATTTATATATTGAATTAAGTATGAAGGGATTATTGCAAAGTGTGTCAGTGCATTAAATGTATTTCCAGATGATCAGAGTATTTATAATTCGATAAAGAAACTGTTTAAAGTTCCTATCATGTCAGCAAGCTTACTGATAGATTTTTGATGCTGTGTCAATACAGGACTGCAGGGATTCAAAGTCCCAAATAATTTAATTACCAGAAGGGGTTCCAATGCCTTTCTGCTGGTTAGATTAACATGTATTGTAGAACGTACAAAAATACACAAAAAAAAATTGCCTGACACTGATGAACTTGAAGAAAAGGGGTGGGCTTATTACCGGGCATCCACCTTATGCAAGGAAAAATAACGAAAAGTGGGAGATGGGCTTATTACCAGGCATGTTTTTTTTTAAGTAATACATCCATGCATAACTTGGTTAATATTAAGTAGTTTTCAATGTTGTCTCTTTAAAATTATTTTATTAGTATAGTTAAACCCAAAAACACTTGTTTGAAAAAATAATTGCAGTATATTGCTGTTTTAAAATCATATTGTAACATTTATAGGATTTTTTTTAGAGAAATATTTCAATTGGTATTGTATCGTAATTGTACACACCTTTTAACTTTCATACTTAGTATATAATTTGCATATACATGATGAAGTGGACTACGTGGGCTTCATAATTTTTCAAGAAAAAAAATTTGAATATGGTTTGAGACTACAGTTTTGGCCATTTACAGATCTGTGTCTACAAAACAAAAGCTAGCTTTTCATGTAGTCTATTTTTGTACTCAGCATGTGGGAAATATTGTGAAAAATCCATCAGAACGACCTATGCTTAAATGTGAGTATTTCTGTTACTGAATAGGTGATATTTAAGACAGTTTTTAGAAAAAAAATCTATATTCAGGAATTCAAATTTTTGGTTGAAACTCATGTAATTTTTGGATGTTTTTTTTTTTGCTGTGATAAGATGTATTTAAAATGTAGTTTATTCATATATATATATTTATGTAGGATGAATTCTGAGACATGCCCATTTTTTTAGGATCAGGCGGCAATTTTTACTGTACACTGCTACCTAAGAAACAAATCATCCTTGATTTCCTTTCCTTTGCTATCAAAGATTTCTCACCTTTTACAACAGCTGGTAAAATGTCATCCTTCAGTGTTACTACTCTATCCTATACAGCTAGTAACACCTCCATGTAACAAAGCTAGCATGTACTGGACTGCAATGTACTGAAATTATAGAGTTTCCTCCCTTTGCTCTGGTTTTGGAGTGAATACCATGATGGAGTTTGCTCCCCTTACTGTCATTTAAATGATCAATTCCCAAACAGTTTGACTGATTGCACAAAAACGATGGATGCTATGGAAATGTTTATTGTGATAAAAAATATTAGAACTCTTTAATCCTTTCACCACTGTAGACTATAATGGACTCGTCCAGATCAATGCATGGTAGAGTCTACTAAAGTTACCTAGAGGTGAAAGGGTTAATTTTCTACAGTAGACACTTGAATTGATCACATTCAAAACAGTTTGATTGTTTGCACCAAAACTGTAAAGTCAGTAATTTGCAAGGACTGTAAGCAAAGAGTTTCCCTCCTTTTTTATTCGGGGGGGGGGGGGCGTCTCCATTTTTCATTGAAATATCTACATTTAGCAGCCGCGTTGGCCAAGTATTTAAAGCGTCTTGACATTCTGCTATGTTTATGTGATCAATTTATTCAAAATTGATTCTCTACCATTAACTCTTCGTCTCGTGAACAGTTCTACTCTGTCTTTAAAAACCAGTTTAATTTTGAATCATATCTAGTTAAGCTTAATTCCAGCGAACGTATAATTATTAGCAAATTTAGAATTTCGAACTTAAAATTACCCATTGAAACTGGTAGATGGGTTGGTATACCACGTAATATGGTATTGGGGATGAATACCACTATCTTTTTCAATGTAATAATGCTACGATAACTAATTATAGACATAAATACATCGCACATTACTTTTATATAAATCCAAGTTTAGCTAAAATGAGAGGTATATGTTTGAAATTTGTAATCGACCCTTATTATCCAGAGTGAGCTACTTTCTTAAAAATGTAGAAAACCTATGTATTTCACACTGATTATTGTCATACTCTTTATTGTACTTTCTATATATACAATAGCAGTGTATTCTTTAATTGCATAAATTTATTCTTTATTACCTTTATATGCTTATAATTTGCAATTAATCATTATTATCCCTGAGTGAGTTACTTTAATGCGTATTTACTATAATTATTCATATGTTACAATGAACTTAGTACCCTGTCTGCCATGTATGTTTGTTTTGAATTTTTGACCTCTCGTTATACACACAAGTGTGTCAAGACTCGAGAGTGTGATACAGAATCTGAATCTGAAGCTAACACTAGCCCTCCACCACTGGGTCGCGGGTTCGAGGCCAACCTGGGGCAGTCTCCAGGTACTGGCCGCAGGTCGGTGGATTTTGTCCGGGAACTCTGGCTTTCCTCCACCAACAAAGCTGGCCATCCTTAAATGACCAAAGCTGTTAATAGGACGTAAAACACGAACAAACCAAACAACAAAATCTACATTTATTTTAATCATATAGATGAGTTCCCTCCCTTTACTATAATGAAGAATGAATATCAGGATAAGAGTTCCTTACCCTTATTTCTTCCGGAACTGATTCCATTTATCACAATTCGTAGCAATTTGACTGGTTGTACAAGACTTATTCACTAGGATAGATATTACTATAGTGCTCTTTAAAGTTGACAGTGCATATTTTTTGGTGAGCCTTGACAAAGATTTTTGAAGCCTCTAAATATATAAATATAAAAACCTAGTGCTGTCATGAAGGCTAATTAACCCTTACACCACTGTAGATCATAATGGACTCATCCAGATCAGTGCATTGAAGAGTTTATTAAAGTTACATAGGAGTAGGAGTGAAACAGTTTACCCCAAAAATGTTCCATTTATAACTGGCCATATCAAGTAAACAATCTCAATACCTTGTCCTTACCTGAATTTCTTTGTTTTGTTTTACAGAATGGCAGAACCTTCAAGTAGCCAGCTTGTAATAAGAAACGTGACTGAGGCAGACATAGATAAAACATTCAGATGTTACGTCAGCAGCGTCAAGACTGAGTACAACAAGCACTTCAAATTTGTAGTTGAACTTTGTCGTAAGTTGTTTTATTACATACATAGATTTGGGGTTCTTATTCCATCTTTTCATATTGCAGAGTTATCTGCTCTTGGGAGCAGGTATTGATTGTTTTGTCATTGGTTCGTGTGAGAAAATTACATCATTTTCTCAAAAACTTGATGACGTTACTCTCACAAACAAATGACGTAACAATCAATACCTGCTAACAAGAGCAGATAACTCTGCAATAAGAAAAGATGGAATAGAAATCTAGCCTGTATGATCTTGTTGAATTCCTTTTGATTATGTGATCCTAAGTATCCCCGACCCACTGCCGAAAACTGTATCTATACATTGGTAACTGTTATTTCTGAGATGACTTAAGCTTTGATATAGCATTTCTGAATAGAAAACCATACCCTTGTGACTTTGTGTGAGTAATCAAGATGAAATGATCAAAACTGAATCAAAAACAGTGTTCTGAGTGTAAAAAAATATATCAGAGGGGCTGGACCAGGATTCCTATCCATGACATAAGGTTGTCATACTTCTATCGCTCTTACCTTCTCGGAGGGGCTAGACCAGGATTCCTATCAATGACATAAGGTTGTCACACTACTATCCTCTTACCTACTCGGAGGGGCTAGACCAGGCTTCCTATCCATGACATAAGGTTGTCATCTTACCTACTCGGAGGGGCTAGACCAGGATTCCTATCCATGGCATAAGGTTGTCATACTACTATCGCTCTAACCTACTTGGAGGGGCTAGACCAGGATTCCTATCCCTGACATAAGATTGTCAAATTACCATCGCTCTAACCTACTCGGAGGGGCTAGACCAGGATTGCTCTCCCTGACATAAGGTTGTCATACTACTATCCCTCTTACCTACTCGGAGGGGCTAGACCAGGATTCCTATACATGACATAAGGTTGTCATACTACTATCCCTCTTACCTACTCGGAGGGGCTAGACCAGGATTGCTCTCCCTGACATAAGGTTGTCATACTACTATCGCTCTAACCTACTCGGAGGGGCTGGACCAGGATTCCTATCAATGACATAAGGTTGTCATACTACTATCGCTCTAACCTACTTGGAGGGGCTAGACCAGGATTCCTATCCCGGACATAAGATTGTCAAATTACTATCGCTCTCACCTACTCGGAGGGGCTAGACCATGATTCCTTTCCATGACATAATTAAGGTTACTACTATCGCTCTTACCTACTCGGAGGGGATAGACCAGGATTCCTATCCATGACATAAGGTTGTCATACTTCTATCCTTCTTACCTACTTGGAGGGGCTAGACCAGGATTCTTATCCCTGACATAAGGTTGTCATACTACTATCGCTCTTTCCTCCTCGGAGGGGCTAGACCAGGATTCCTATACATGACATAAGGTTGTCATACTAATATCGCTCCTACCTACTCGGAGGGGCTAGGCCAGGATTCCTATCCATGGCATAAGGTTGTCATACTACTATCGCTCTAACCTACTCGGAGGGGCTAGACCATGATTCCTTTCCATGACATAATTAAGGTTACTACTATCGCTCTAACCTACTCGGATGGGCTAGAACAGGATTCCTATACATGACATAAGGTTGTCATACTAATATCGCTCCTACCTACTCGGAGGGGCTAGGCCAGGATTCCTATCCATGGCATAAGGTTGTCATACTACTATCGCTCTAACCTACTTGGAGGGGCTAGACCAGGATTCCTATCCCTGACATAAGATTGTCAAATTACTATCGCTCTAACCTACTCGGAGGGGCTGGACCAGGATTCCTATCCATGACATAAGGTTGTCATACTACTATCGCTCTTACCTCCTCGGAGGGGCTAGACCAGGATTCCTATCCATGACATAAGGTTGTCATACTACTATCGCTCTTACCTACTCGGAGGGGCTAGACCAGGATTCCTATCCATGACATAAGGTTGTCATACTACTATCGCTCTTACCTACTCGGAGGGGCTAGACCAGGATTCCTATCCATGACATAAGGTTGTCATACTACTATCGCTCTTACCTACTCGGAGGGGCTAGACCAGGATTCCTATCCATGACATAAGGTTGTCATACTACTATCGCTCTTACCTACTCGGAGGGGCTAGACCAGGATTCCTATCCATGACATAAGGTTGTCATACTACTATCGCTCTTACCTACTCGGAGGGGCTAGACCAGGATTCCTATCCATGACATAAGGTTGTCATACTACTATCGCTCTTACCTACTCGGAGGGGCTAGACCAGGATTCCTATCCATGACATAAGGTTGTCATACTACTATCGCTCTTACCTACTCGGAGGGGCTAGACCAGGATTCCTATCCATGACATAAGGTTGTCATACTACTATCGCTCTTACCTACTCGGAGGGGCTAGACCAGGATTCCTATCCATGACATAAGGTTGTCATACTACTATCGCTCTTACCTACTCGGAGGGGCTAGACCAGGATTCCTATCCATGACATAAGGTTGTCATACTACTATCGCTCTTACCTACTCGGAGGGGCTAGACCAGGATTCCTATCCATGACATAAGGTTGTCATACTACTATCGCTCTTACCTACTCGGAGGGGCTAGACCAGGATTCCTATCCATGACATAAGGTTGTCATACTACTATCGCTCTTACCTACTCGGAGGGGCTAGACCAGGATTCCTATCCATGACATAAGGTTGTCATACTACTATCGCTCTTACCTACTCGGAGGGGCTAGACCAGGATTCCTATCCATGACATAAGGTTGTCATACTACTATCGCTCTTACCTACTCGGAGGGGCTAGACCAGGATTCCTATCCATGACATAAGGTTGTCATACTACTATCGCTCTTACCTACTCGGAGGGGCTAGACCAGGATTCCTATCCATGACATAAGGTTGTCATACTACTATCGCTCTTACCTACTCGGAGGGGCTAGACCAGGATTCCTATCCATGACATAAGGTTGTCATACTACTATCGCTCTTACCTACTCGGAGGGGCTAGACCAGGATTCCTATCCATGACATAAGGTTGTCATACTACTATCGCTCTTACCTACTCGGAGGGGCTAGACCAGGATTCCTATCCATGACATAAGGTTGTCATACTACTATCGCTCTTACCTACTCGGAGGGGCTAGACCAGGATTCCTATCCATGACATAAGGTTGTCATACTACTATCGCTCTTACCTACTCGGAGGGGCTAGACCAGGATTCCTATCCATGACATAAGGTTGTCATACTACTATCGCTCTTACCTACTCGGAGGGGCTAGACCAGGATTCCTATCCATGACATAAGGTTGTCATACTACTATCGCTCTTACCTACTCGGAGGGGCTAGACCAGGATTCCTATCCATGACATAAGGTTGTCATACTACTATCGCTCTTACCTACTCGGAGGGGCTAGACCAGGATTCCTATCCATGACATAAGGTTGTCATACTACTATCGCTCTTACCTACTCGGAGGGGCTAGACCAGGATTCCTATCCATGACATAAGGTTGTCATACTACTATCGCTCTTACCTACTCGGAGGGGCTAGACCAGGATTCCTATCCATGACATAAGGTTGTCATACTACTATCGCTCTTACCTACTCGGAGGGGCTAGACCAGGATTCCTATCCATGACATAAGGTTGTCATACTACTATCGCTCTTACCTACTCGGAGGGGCTAGACCAGGATTCCTATCCATGACATAAGGTTGTCATACTACTATCGCTCTTACCTACTCGGAGGGGCTAGACCAGGATTCCTATCCATGACATAAGGTTGTCATACTACTATCGCTCTTACCTACTCGGAGGGGCTAGACCAGGATTCCTATCCATGACATAAGGTTGTCATACTACTATCGCTCTTACCTACTCGGAGGGGCTAGACCAGGATTCCTATCCATGACATAAGGTTGTCATACTACTATCGCTCTTACCTACTCGGAGGGGCTAGACCAGGATTCCTATCCATGACATAAGGTTGTCATACTACTATCGCTCTTACCTACTCGGAGGGGCTAGACCAGGATTCCTATCCATGACATAAGGTTGTCATACTACTATCGCTCTTACCTACTCGGAGGGGCTAGACCAGGATTCCTATCCATGACATAAGGTTGTCATACTACTATCGCTCTAACCTACTCGGAGGGGCTAGACCAGGATTCCTATCCATGGCATAAGGTTGTCATACTACTATCGCTCTTACCTACTCGGAGGGGCTAGACCAGGATTGCTATCCATGACATAATTAAGGTTACTACTATCGCTCTAACCTACTCGGAGGGGCTAGACCAGGATTGCTATCCATGACATAAGGTTGTCATACTACTATCGCTCTAACCTACTCGGAAGGGCTGGACCAGGATTCCTATCCAGGACATAAGGTTGTCATACTACTATCGCTCTTACCTACTTGGAGGGGCTGGACCAGGATTCCTATCCAGGACATAAGGTTGTCATACTACTATCGCTGTTACCTACTTGGAGGGGCTGGACCAGGATACCTATCCATGACATAAGGTTGTCATACTATAGCTCTTACCTACTCGGAGGGGCTAGACAAGGATTGCTATCCATGACATAAGGTTGTCAGACTACTATCGCTCTAACCTACTCGGAAGGGCTGGACCAGGATTCCTATCCGGGACATAAGGTTGTCATACTACTATCGCTCTTACCAGGGCTGGACCAGGATTCCTATCCAGGACATAAGATTGTCATACTACTATCGCTCTTACCTACCCGGAGGGGCTAGACCAGGATTCCTATCAATGACATAAGGTTGTCATACTACTATCGTTCTTACCTACTCGGAGAGGCTTGCCCAGGATTCGCTATCCATGACATAATAAAGGTTACTCCTATCGCTCTTACCTACTCGGAGGGGCTAGACAAGGATTGCTATCCATGACATAAGGTTGTCATACATCCAGGACATAAGGTTGTCATACTACTATCGCTGTTACCTACTTGGAGGGGCTGGACCAGGATACCTATCCATGACATAAGGTTGTCATACCATA